TGTGGCAGGCGAGGGGGACAGTGAAAGGGACTGAAACCAGCCACCGAGAATCTTGGCTCTTATTTGAAGCAAGGTGGTCAGCCACTGGAAGGTTTTCAAGGGAAGGATGACGCCATCTGCAGTCTAAAACCTAGAATCAGGAAACCTAAAACCTAGAACCTAGGTCAACGGGATATAAGGGGTGGAGGGAGGAGCATATGTAGTTCTGTCTTTTTTTCTTTTAAAAAATATATTTTATTGATTAGTTCTTTCAACAATAAAGGTACATTTTTAAAAATTAAATGCTGCCCTAACCAGTTTGGCTCAGTGGATAGAGCATTGACCTGTGGACTCAAGGGTCCCAAGTTCAATTCCAGTCAAGGGCATGTACCTTGGTTGCAGGCACATCCCCAGTAGGGGGTGTGCAAGAGGCAGCTGATCAATGTTTCTCTCTCATTGATGTTTCTGACTCTGTCCCTCTCTCTTCCTCTCTGTAAAAAATCAATAAAAATATATTTAAATAAAATAAAAATTAAAAAATTAAATGCTAAATCAGTTAAGATTCAACTACGTCTATTGTAGCTGTCTGGGCAGTAGATGGAGTTGACCTGGACCAGATCAATGAAGAGAAGTAGATGGAACTGACATCTGTTCTGGAAAAAGCATACACAGGTCTCAGTGGATATGAGTCAAGGCTGACTCTTCTGTGCCTCTGGCACAACCAATTAACTGGGAATCGGTTGTTACCAATGACTGAGATGGAAAAGACTGGGAGGAAAAGCAGCTTTGGGGTTAGGTCAGTTCTGTTGTAAATGTATTAACTCTGAAGTGTCAATAGTACAGGTATATACAGATTTGGAATTCAGAAAAGAGTCCAGGATGGAGATAAATTTGGGAATTGTCAGCATATAGGCAGTTACAGGCATGGCAGTGGACAAAACAGCTGAGGTAAGCCTGGCTGGTGTGACTCAGTGGTTGAGCGGCGACCTATGAAACAGTTCGATTCCCGGTTAGGGCACATGCTTGGATTTCGAGCTTCATCTCCAGTGGGGCATGCAGGAGGCAGCCAATCAATGATTCTCTCTCATCAATTGATGTTTCTATCTCTCTTCATCTCTGAAATCAATAAAAATACATATATATTTTTCAAATAGCTGAGGTGAGTGTGATAGGCAGTTAGACGGATAGGAGCAGAGCAAGGATGATGGAGCAGGTATAGAAGGCCACCAGGGTAGAAAATCCTCCGCACCGCTTCTTCCCCCTCCCCACCCCCCATCACTGTAATCTTTCCTCCTCTATATCACTGGTCATATAGTTTAGGCCACCTGACCTTTTGGTGCTCATCACGTGATTCAGACCCTCCCTTGACCTTTCCTCCCCTGGCATGTTGCTAGTCCTGCAGGTTAGACCCCTTAGGAGAGGAAATGAGTTGGGAGGCTTGGAGAATAGCTATTTGAGCATTAAGCCCCCAGGACAATGAGATCTTGACCCAAATCAAACACATCTAGGCCTCAGATGAGTTTCAGCTCCAGGCCCAGAAAAGCAGCAAAACCAGAAAAGCTAGGCCATGGCTGACCTCAGGACCCGCTGCAGGGACTCATGACCATGCAGGGGGTCCTGACCAATCAGCGGGTCCTGCCTGGCACTGACCAATCAGTGGTAACCATGCCCTGAAAGGACACTCCTGGAAAGCTGATGAATATTCTATTGAGATCTTTCCCAGGAATTGCCGGCTAATGTCCAGCCATTAAAAGCCCTTAGAATGGCCGGGACTGGTTTGGCTCAATGGATAGAGCGTCGGCTTGGGGACTGAAGGGTCCCGGGTTCAATTCCGGTCAAGGGCATGTACCTTGGTTGCGGGCATATCCCCAGTGGGGGGTGTGCAAGAGGCAGCTGGTCGATGACTCTCTCTCATCGATGTTTCTAACTCTCTATCTCTCTCCCTTCCTCTCTGTATAAAATCAATAAAATATATTTAAAAATAATAATAATAAAATAAATAAATAAATAAAAGCCCTTAGAATGGCCGAAACCGGTTTGGCTCAGTGGATAGAGCATTAGCCTGTGGACTTATGGGAACCCCTTTCATGTCCCACGTGGTTCCAGCTCAGGGTTCGGGTTCTGGAGAAGGGCTGCATGCAAATTAAAGAGAGACTAGAGCCGAAACCAGTTTGGCTCAGTGGTAGAGCGTCGGTCTGTGGACTGAAAGGTCCCAGGTTCAATTCCGGTCAAGGGCATGTACATTGGTTGCGGGCACATCCCTGGTAGGGGGTGTGCAGGAGGCAGCTGATCCATGTTTCTCTCTCATCAACATTTCTAGCTCACTCTCTCCCTTCCTCTCTGTAAAATATCAATAAAATATATATTTAAAAGAGAGAGAGAGAGAGAGAGAGAGAGAGAGAGAGAGAGAGAGAGACTAGAAGAAAGTTAACTTGATGATATGGGGGGCCAGGCGGTCTAGTGGAAGGACTGCTTCTGGGCTCTGACCTTGCTATCCCTCTTATTATTTTTTTAAAAATATATTTTATTGATTTTTTACGGAGAGAAAGAAAGTCAGAAACATCGATGAGAGAGAATCATCGACCAGCTGCCTCTTGCACACCCCCTACTGGGGATGTGCCCGCAACCAAGGTCCATGCCCTTGACCGGAATCGAACCCGGGACCTTTCAATCCACAGGCTGACACTCTACTCACTGAGCCAAACTGGTTACAGCTATGGCTGGTTCTTGAGTTGGGCTTTGAGGTGGTTGTTTTCCATCCGGTAGAGGCAGGGTGAGGGCACTCCAGGCAGAGGGACAGGCATGGGCAGGGGCCTGGAGGTGGGAGGCGCCCAGCACAGTAAGGAACAGCAGGTGGCCCCGTGGGAAAGCTAGTCCTGGAGGCCTGCAAGGCTGGGCCCAAGCACCTGTAGTTACCCCTCCCCTCCCCCCCCGTGGGCAGCCTGCACCCTGGGCTTCCCGCCCCTCCCTCAGCTGCAGTCCTGCCACGGAAAAACGGAGACTGTTTGAAGCTGTTGGCTCCTGGAGATAGGAGGCCCCACACAGACACATTTCCACTTGGACTCCCCACTCCAGGGAGGGAACAAGGCCTCAGGCTTGCCAAGGGTGTGAGAGGGATTCTCTGTCCTTAAAGGAGACCTGAGGAGGTGTCACCAGCCCCACCTTTCTCCTAGAGACCACATGGACAGTGGAGCAGGCAGGCGGCCCAGCAGCCCCAAGACCCAGCTGAAATCCAGCCTCAGTGCTACGGATGCTGCCTGCTCTCAGCCTTCGGGGGTGGCAGGGCACAGGGGTGCTTGGGAGAGGAGCAGGCAGGCTGGGATCCTGCCTGGAAATGCCTGCAATGCTTGTTTTTTCTTTTCTTTTAAAAAATATATTTTATTGATTTTTTTACAGAGAGGAAGGGAGAGGGATAGAGTTAGAAACATCAATCAGCTGTAACCAAGGTACGTGCCCCTGACCGGAATCGAGCCTGGGACCCTTGAGTCTGCAGGCCAATGCTCTATTTATTGAGTCAAATTGGTTTCGGCTGGAATGCTTGTTATTTCTATTTTCTTTTCTTTTTTTTTAATAAAAAATATTTTTATTGATTTTTTTACAAAGAGGAAGGGAGAGGGATAGAGAGTTAGAAACATCGATGAGAGAGAAACATCGATCAGTTGCTTCCTGCACACCCCCTTCTGGGGATGTGCCCACAACCAAGGTACATGCCCTTTGTACCTTGAAAATCGAACTGGAGACTTTTCAGGCCGGTTTTGACTATTTCTATTTTCATTCTCCCCTCAAGCTGAGGTCCTTTCAGACTTGTTAAGTGTTATGAAATGATGTGTCCTCTTCACTGCACCATCCCTGGGGGCATACAATATATGTCTATCCCATTACTGGTGGTGTTACTTTGATCACTTGCTTAAAGTGATGATTGTAGGGTTCTGGACTGTAAATTTATTCTTGCTATGAAAGAGTATTTCGTAGAAGCGATACTCTGAGAATACGCAATGGGCAACCAGATGAAATACAGGAAGCCCACATTTATTTGAATTTCAGATAACCAACAAGTATTTTTCAAAAAGTGTATGACCATTTTCCCAAATTATTTACCTAAAATTTAAATTTCATTGTGTCTTGTATTTTTTAAAAATATATATATTTTATTGATTTTTTACAGAGAAGAAGGAAGAGGAATAGAAAGTCAGAAACATCGATGAGAGAGAAACATTGATCAGCTGCCTCTTGCACATCCCCTATTGGGGATGTGCCCACAACCAAGGTACATGCCCCCAACTGGAATCGAACCCGGGACCCTTGAGTCTGCAGGCCTACGCTCTATCCCTGAGCCAAACCAGTTTCTGCTTGTACTTTTTTTTCTTTTTCTTTCTTTCTTTTATTATTATTATTATTATTATTATTTTATTTTATTTTTAGCAAATAAGAGATACTTAATTTTTATTTTCAATGACAGTATACATTCAACATTATTTTGTATTAGTTTCCGGTGCATCTTGTATTTTTATTTGCAGGACCTGGGAACCCTACATGTGACTATCTTGTTCCAGATCCTTCAACTCAACTGTTTTGACATCCATTGACGATTCTGAATCAAGGGTTCACCAAATTCGTTGTTTTCTGACTCCATTACTCTTTTACACTTATTTATTAGTTGGCACTTTACCTGCCCACCTTTTTAGCCACTCTTTACGGTAACAGGCGAACTGTAGGCGCTCAGGTACTTATTAGTCCCAGCAACGAATGAGCCAATAAATGCTCAGGTTGGTTGGGTTGGGCGACCAGCTAGCCGCGCCTGGCAAGGGCTTGCCTTCCTCAGCCAATCACCGCGTGGTCCCGAGGCTCCGGAGCCTTCCAGGGCCTCGCTCCGAGCTCTCCTTGCTCCAATCACAAGCAAGGCTTTCCCGGACAGGGACCAATGGGCGCCGGCGGGGGGGCGGGGCCCGGCACGCGCCCGCGGTATAAACGCGCTGCCTGAGCGCGCGCTTCCCTTCGGGCTCCGACGCCGGCGCGGGGGCATGGCCGCCTCATCCCTCGTGTGCGCCTTGGCCACCCGGCTGCTCCGGCCCGCACGGAACTGCTGCTTCCGCCACCGTCCGCTCCACCTCTCGGCTGTTCGGTAAGAGAGCAGGGAGCGGGTCCCGCCCGGGCTCCGAGGGACTGACTTCCTGAGCATCTGCGTCCGGGGCGGCTTGTCCGCCGAGCGCACCGGCCGGGCGACGTGGCAGCCGAGCGCGGCTGCAGCCTGAGACCGGGGTGCCCGCCGGCGCGGAGGGCTGTGGCCAGTGTGGCCATGCCAGCCTTTCGGAGGGAGCCTGTCTCCCCGCAGGCTCGGGGCGTCGATCTTTCCCGGGGCCAGTCCGCTGGCGGGACGGGGTCCCCGGGGCGGAGCGGAGGCGCCGGCGCGTTCTGGGGCGCCCCGATGGACAGGAACATGCTGGGGTGATCGGGCGGGACCTCTGGGCTGCCCTGGTGATGCCAAGATCCGTCTTGGTCTTGGGGGAAGCAGAGCAGACGCCTTGGAGCGCTGGGAAGGGTTCAGGGTGAGCAGCTTCGGCGGCAGTCCTTCCCCGGGGCCCTAGCGGCGGCGGCGGGCGGTGCAGTCTGATGAAATCCCCGAGCCGCCGGGCTCCGGGGTACCCGCCCCGCTCCGGGGTACCCCACTTCCCACGGCTCCTGTGGATGGGGGTGGCTCTCCACCCGGCCCTTTCCCTCCCGGGGGAATACACGCGGTGATCACCTGGGCTTTGGCTGCAGCCGGCCCAAGAGCTGGTCAGTGCCAGGCAGTGTCATTTGAGCGGATAAATGCCAGGAAGGAGGAGGAGAGCTCTGCGTTTCCAATGGGAGGTAATAGTTTGTGTTTTTCCCCCCCCCGGGTGGGTTTGTTTGTTTTTCCTGGACCTCACACTCTCCATCTTAAACCTAGATTGCAGAGCCTTTGCGGAAGCTGTGATTTCATTCCCTAAAAATCTGTGCGCTTTTCCATCTTTGGAGCCTTAGCATTGCCAGCGACCTAAGCCTTGTAAGAGCAGCCCTTTCTCTCCTGCAGGCGCGGCGCTGTGCCTCCTGTGCGAATTCAGAGGCGGTGAACACTGCTCCTTAGTGGAACTCAGCTGTCCAGGGGCAGGACACACGTGTGTCATCTCCTCTCGGTGTAAAAATGTTATTAGAGACATCACCAGGGAGCTGTAGAAGCACAGAATGCGGATTCATGCGCTCCTGAAAGAAGACATGGGCTTGGGCAGGGACACTCAAGGCTTTTCTTCCTTTTTTTAAAAGGCTTTTTTTGGTCTGACCCTGACCTGCCTCTCCAGTATCTCTGTTACAGTCCGTTCTCCTCCTCCTTCCTCCCTTCCTGAGTTCTGGTCACTTGGGCCGTGGCTTTTATGACTAAGTAGAGATTTATAACTGTCCTCTAGTTTATTGCCTACAGAATTGGACCAGTTTGCTTGCTCCAGCAACAAATACCCTCCTTTTACTTACTTTTTGAATGCACAAGTAAACTTCCACATCTCTGAGGGCAATACTCAGTTTGGTATTCATGGTCCCGTTGTATTGCTTTACAGCTGGCATGTAGAACTTTCAACAACTTTATTATTATTATTATTTCTAAAGAGGCTACCTTTATTTCTTTTTTTAGGGGGTTGGTCTGAGAGTTTCACGAACATAAACTTGGTGAGAGAGGGAGAGAACTGTAGTTTTGGAGGCAGAGGTTTGCATTTGTATCTTGTATCTACTGTCTTCAGTTTCCCCTTCTGCATAACAGGGTTATTATAACAGCTCCAAGGTAACAGTAATGAATGCAAAAGTCTTAGCAAAATACCTAGTGTCTAATAGATATTAGTTCCATCCCACTTTGTGTCTGTCTTCATTTCTGGTCCCATTAGTGGATAGCAAGAATTCTTTCTAAAATAATCTGATCGTGAATTGAAAAAATGCACCTGGTGTTAATTGGATTAGGAGGAGAGTGGAGATGCTACTGACTAGAATTTTAGTTTTGATTTTGAATAATCCTCGTGACTTCTTTCTAATTTTTAATTTTAACGGAAAGTTTCCTAAACACATCCTGAAAGCACTAAATTGTGAAATAGGTATTAGCTAATATAGTTAATGCATTTTTGGTTTCCCATGGAACCGAGTCTGTATTTGTTTACTTTGAGGTATCTGCCCTTTGGCAAAAAAGATGATGGGAAGTTAGGTAATGACTCACTTGCTGCGGGCTGTTCCGCACGTTGCTGAGCTGTGGCTGCAGAGGAGGGCTGAACGGTTCCAGTACGAGAAAAAGCAGTGTGGCTTTTCTGTTTTGGTTCTTGTTATTCTTTGATAGTTTTGTCTTCTTTTAAAAGTATATTTTATTGATTTTTTACAGAGAGAAAGAGAGAGGGACAGTTAGAAACATTGATGAGAAAGAATCATTAATCAGCTGCCTCCTGCACCACCCCCACCGGGGATGTGCCCGCAACCAAGGTACATGCCCCTGACCAGAATCGAATCCGGGACCTTTCAGTCCAGTTTTGTGTCCTTAACTTCAGTGTATCATTCTTAGCCCAGATGTGCTGTTACATTCTAAGTTTATTGCTTTCAAAGGAATTTTTTTAATGAATTGCAAGCTAAGTTCTTCTCATGGAATACTTATATGTGGATGGAGGTGTGTGTGTGTGTGTGTATTTTTTTTAGAGGTCTGGTGCATGAAATTTGTGCACTGGGGTGGGCGGGGTGGGGGGGGGTGTGTGTCCCATCAGCCCAGCCTGCATCCTCTCCAATCTGGGACCCCTTGGGGGCAGTCAGACATCCCTCTCACAATCTGAGACCGCAGGCTTCTAACTGCTCACCTACCTGCCAGCCTTGTCACCCCATGCAGCCTGCTGTGCATTCGTTTGGTCGTCCCTCAAGAACCCTCTGCCAGCCTTGCCCCCCCCCACACTGCTGTTCGGTCATTACTGTGATGGCATCCTGAACAATTTGCATATTCCTCTATTAGTATAGATATATCCTTATGAATATATGAGTAGATAAATATATCTATTGCATATTAAGGTTACATATGTATGTGTGTCATAAATCTAACCAATAGAAGAGAGTAATAAATTAATTTTTATTGAATATATATATATATATATATATATATATATATATATATATGCCTGGAAGTTTATATGTTATTTCATTCAATATAAATGAGTGTCCTAAGCCCTCCGTAGTTTTTCACTCTATAGTGTCCTAAGATTGCAAAATGCTTTTCTGACCTGGTGGAGGTGGGGTATTCCTGGTACTAATGCAGATCAGGCATGTTGCCAGGGGTACTTGTATCATCCAAGTCCTTTATTTCTTCTTCATATATTTTTATTGATTTCCGAGAGAAAGAGAGAGATAGAAACACCAGTGATGAGGGAGAATCATTGATCAGCTGCCTCCTGCACAGCCCCAGCTGTGGACTCAGCCCTCAGGCTGATGCTCTAGCCACTGGGCCAAACCAGCTAGGGTAGCAAAGCCCTTTTAATAAAGTCCCCTTCAACTTCAGCTAATTCTGAACTGGATTTGTAAATATTAACATGTTTTCAATTCCTTAATGTACCATGGATCTATATGAAAAGTATTTGATGTGCTATATTTTGATATCTTCTTAAAACCTCACAAGATGCAAATACAGACTAATATAAGGTTTAGATATAAAATTACTGTTTTGGCAGAAACCGTTTGGCTCAGTGGTAGAGCGTCGGCCTGCGGACTGAAAGGTCCCGGGTTCCCTATCCGTTAAGGGCATGTACCTTGGTTGTAGGCACATCCCCAATAGGGGGTGTGCAAGAGGCAGCTGGTTGATGATTCTCTCTCATCCATGTTTCTAACTCTATTCCTCTCTCTTCCTCTCTGTAAAAAATCAATAAAATATATTTAAATAAATAATAAAATTACTGTTTTGTATCTAAGACATTGAGATGTAAAGTACTTAATCATAATGCAAATAAAAAGACAATAAAGGCTTAAAGACTGTTAAAACTTTAAAATTTGCCCTAGCTGGTTTTGCTCAATGGGTAGAGGGTTTTGCTTACCAACTGAAGGGTCCCAGGTTCATTTCCAGTCAAGGGCACATGTCCGGATTGCGGGCTCCATCCCCAATAGAGCATTTGCAGGAGGCAGATGATCAATGATTTTCCTCATCTTTGATGTTCTATCGCTCTCTCTCTTCCTCTCTGAAATCAATAAAAATGTTTTTAAAAAACTATTTTAAAATTCTATTTTAATTAGTAGGCCTTGAGAATTAATCATATCTGACCATACAAACCATCCAGTACCTTGATGTTGTCCTTGAGAATTAAATATGTGTGATGAGCCCAGCTGGCATGGCTCAGCGGTTGAGTGCCAACCTGTGAACCACGAGGTCATTATTCGATTCCCAGTGAGGGCACAGGCCTAGGTTGTGTGTTCAGCCTTCAGTGTGGGGCATGCAGGGAGCAGCTGATCGATGATTCTCTCTCATCATTGATGTTTCTATCTCTCTCTTTCTCCCTCTCCCTTCCTTCCTGAAATAAAAAATAAATAAGTAAATAAATAATTTTTAAATGATTCTCTCTCATCATTGATGTTTCTATCTCTCTCCCTCTCCCTTCCTTCCTGAAATAAAAAAATAAATAAATAATAAAAATAATTTTTTTTTTAAAGTGCCACGAGGGGAAATAAGATTGTTTTAATGTTTCAAACAGTTGTGTTTCATTGGTCTTGAGGTTAGAGCATTCCACATGACCCGGAGGACACAAATCTAAAGGGAAAGACTTGTTTTCAGTGACAACTTTGTGCTGAAGGAGCAGATGCTTATCCCACTTTACGTAATGGGAACTTTGTTGTAAGGATTTGTGTGGAAATAAGGAAACCAGGAGCCTTCTACATTGGAACTCAGGAAGAGCTGTCTGACCAGCTCCCAGTTCTTGTTGGGAAGAGACAGCCTTTCCGAGATCTGGACACGGTTTTGGTGACTGGAGGTTCCTCCCGGTCCTGAGTCTCCTCACTGCCCCACCCCAACCAGCAGTTTTTCCTCCAACACGACTGCTCCTCCCTTTGTCCTGTGACTGGATGCTAACAAAACGGGCGAAGCACAAACTACAGATGATAAATCAGCACATAGGAAGAACTGTTTAACCTCACAGTGGGGAGGGGGTAAAATAAAACAATGATTTTATTTATCTGTTTATTTAGCCTATCAATTTGTGAATGTGCAGGAGAGGCTGTGGCATTAAAAGCCCACACTCAGGACTGAGACAGACCCCACTTCACCAAGTACCAGCTGTCAGTCACTTAAACCCTCTGACTAAATGTATCAGTCAACTTTATATGTAGCTGAATACAGATTTCCCACTTGGAATTTGCTCTTCAGATTGCACGTCTTCCTCAGGTTAGGCACCATTAATTTAAACTTTAGGTTTTGGGTATTTCCCCCCTACGATTATTGAGAAATAATCGACATACACCACTGTATAAGTTTAAGGTATACAACATGATGGTTTGCTTTGTCTATATTATGAAATGATTACCAAATAGGTTTAGTTAACATTCAAATCACATCATGCAGACACAACAAAAGGAAAAAAAATGTTTCTCCTTGTGCTGAGAACTCTTAGAATCTATTCTCTTAACAGCTAGCTTTCCTCTGTATCTTGCGGCAGTGTAACTACAGGCATCACGTTGTGAATCACATTCCTTGTACTTAATTATCTTTAACTGGAAATTTGTGCCTTTTGACCACTTTCCTCCAGTTCCCCCTCCTCTCCCTTGAAATGGGGGTATTTCATACTTTTTTTGTATCTGATCTCCACTTTTATAAAAACTCAAGCCAGTGTTTGATTTTGTGACGGTTGCCTCCTGCAGAAATGAAGCTGTTGTCATTTCTGGAAAGAAGCTCGCCCAGCAGATCAAGCAGGAAGTGCGGCAGGAGGTGGAGGAGTGGGTGGCAGCCGGCCACAGGCGGCCGTACCTGAGCGTGGTCCTGGTCGGCGAGAATCCTGCAAGTCACTCCTACGTCCTCAACAAAGCCAAGGCTGCTGCCGACGTGGGTAGGTGGCCCTCTTGGATCCCGATCACTTTAGAGTGAGGCTTCTGCTTTTATTTTATTTATTTAAAAATATATATTTTATTGATTTTTCACAGAGAGGAAGAGAGAGGGATAGAGAGCTAGAAACATCGATGAGAGAGAATCATCGATCAGCTGCCTCTTGCACACCCCCCACTGGGGATGTGCCTGCAACCAAGGTACATGCCCTTGACCGAAATCAAACCTGGGATCTTTCAGTCCGCATGCGGACACTCTATCCACTGAGCCAAACCAGTTTTGGCAAACTCTATTTATTCCTGAAGAGTGAGGACTCCTGCCCTTCTCATTGGAAAACACTTATATCCTCTAGAAAATAGCAAGTCGTGTTTTCCTAAGACATTGGGAGGCGCCAGGCTGCAGGGGGACTTTGAAACTGGAAGATTGGTTTCACTACTAGCTGGCTTGTTTCAGTTTCGCTGTGCCTGTCTCCTGTCCACAAAATGAGGTTAATGAGGATTACATAAATAATACACAGAATCATCAAGCTAGCATTCTGTAGTGTATATATTTGTGACGTTACTGGTTCAGGTTCGTTTTGAGCTGATTCATGCTTTTCGGCTACCAGGTAGCTATGATAATAAAAACCTCAATGCAGAAGACTGTGGCAGGCAACATTGCATTGCTCATTAAATGCCTCAATACATATATATTCTAATATATTTTTATTGACTTCAGAAAGGAAGGGATGAGAGAGAACCATTGATCAGATGCCTCCTGCATGCCCCCTACTGGAAACCAAACATGCAACCCAGGCATGTGCCCTGACCAAGAATCAAACCCAGGACACTTCAATCCACAGGCTGGTGCTCTATCCACTGAGCCAAACTGTCTAGGGCATACTTCAATATATATATATATATATATATATATATATATTTTTTTTTTTAAATATATTTTATTGATTTTTTACAGAGAGGAAGGGAGAGAGATAGAGAGCTAGAAATGTCGATGAGAGAGAAACATCGATCAGCTGCCTCCTGCACACCCCCTACTGGGAATGTGCCCGCAACCAATGTACATGCCCTTGACCGGAATCGAACCTGGGACCTTTCAGTCCGTAGAACGACGCTCTACCTACTGAGTCAAACCGGTTTCGGCATGTCTCAATATTTTTTAACTTTGAAATTTTCTTATAGGAATCAGCAGTGAGACAATTTTGAAGCCCGCTTCAGTTTCAGAGGAAGAACTGTTGAACTTAATCAGTAAACTAAATAATGATGATAACGTTGATGGCCTGCTGGTTCAGCTGCCGCTCCCTGGTGAGTTTTGGGCTCCACCATTTAAAAGGGTTTCTGAGGAGTGGAGAGGCCTGGTTACTTTATACTGCTGGCCCCTAGTGAGTCTGACTCAAAGGGGAGGTAATGTGCAGAGAGTGCATTTTTTATTAGGTATGGGGCAGACCTACTCAATGAGGGCAAACAGAGTTTGCCACCCTAAAATATGGCTTTGGGGATATTGATTATTTTAAGCTGGTTATTTCCAAGAAACAAAAGACTCAGGATAAACCTTTGACCTTTCCTCTGACTGCCTAAAGGAATTTATTTATTTTTTAAAATATGTTTTATTGATTTTTTACAGAGAGGAAGAGAGGTGGATAGAGAGTTAGAAACATTGATGAGAGAGAAGCATCAATCAGCTGCCTCTTGCACATTCCCCACTGGGAATGTGCCCACAACCAAGGTACATGCCCTTGACTGTAATCGAACCCTGAACCCCTCATTGCGCAGGCTGAAGCTCTATCCACTGAGCCAAACCGGTTTTGGCTGCCTAAGGGAATTTAGATAGCGGTCCCGCTCCAGGAAAGGAGATAGATCAGAGATATGAATCTGGTGTGATAGGTTAGCAAGCCCCTTTAATCAGTCTTCTCTGTGACCCATTGTTAAAGATGTTCCAACAAACATTTGCTTTTCTATCTCCACGTGAATTACCTTCCAGTTCCCAACCACAACTCCCTTTCTCCTTAGCTCACAATCACATATAAGCCTTAACTGCATAATCTGTCCTGGGTCTCATATTATTTTTCTTTTGTTAGAGAGAGAGGTAGAGAGAGGAAACATTGTTCTGTTGTTCCACTTGGTTTTGCATTCATTGGTTGACTCTTGAGTGTGCCCTGACCAGGGATTGAACTTGCAATCTTGGTGCATTGGGATGACACTCTAATCTACTGACTCAACAGCCAGGGCCAGTGTCATATTCTTATGGAATCCTGGAGTACACATACATAATAAGTTTGGACATTTTCTCCTATTAATCTATCTTATGTTCATCTGGTTATTAGTCGAGCCAGAAGAATTTAGAAAGATAGAAAGTAAAATAAATTTTCCTCTCCCACATCAGAATACCAATTACTCCCTGATTTGACAATGAGATCTTGATACCAGGAACAGTGCAGGGAAGCCGTCATACAAGAGGACATTGGCTTTGATACTGGCATTTGGCCTTGCTTGATGTGTTCCTTCTGAGCGGACGGAAGAAGTAAATCATTGAGGCACGTAGAGGCAAGTTGTAGAAAGAACAGGTTTGCACAACAAACCAAATAGGCTGGGGTCAAGCCGGAGTAACTATGCAACAGTGACAGGCCACTGGTCTGGTCTCTCTCAGAGCACATCGATGAGAGGAAGATCTGCAACGCTGTTTCTCCAGACAAGGATGTCGATGGCTTCCATGTGATTAATGTGGGGCGACTGTGTTTGGACCAGTATTCCATGTTACCGGCTACCCCGTGGGGCGTGTGGGAAATAATTAAGCGAACCGGTAGGTCTATCCCACAATTGTATCTGTTGGTATTATGAAAGTAGTACTTGCAAATAGTAAAAGAGTGAAAACTCCTACCCGTGACCTCTAGTCTTACTCCCCAGAGCCTTTCTAGCAGTTGCCTATGACTGTTTTATTTTTTTAAATTTAATGTTATTGTTGATAATATTAAGAGATGTCTCCCATTTTTTCCCTTATTGACCCCTTCCACCCAACCCCCACCCCACCCTGGCCTTCCCCATGCTATTCTCTGTGCCTACGTCTGTTTTGTTCTCTGCGGACAAAAGCCTCAGAGAAGGAAGATTTGGTAGCGGTGACAGTGCACATTTATGTAACATTGTGTAGTTTACAAGATGTTGTCTTTAAGTCTTGAAGTGATAGGGCCAATTGACTGAGGCAATTAGCTTGGCGACTTCATTCATTATTATAATTAAAGTCACATCCTAGGCCGTCTGCCTTTTCCTTTGGTGCCATAAGATAGTCTGGCATTACTTTTCAATATATGTTATTTTAAAAAATAATTCTTTATTGTTGAGAGTACTACGTATGTCCCACTTTCCCCCTCATTGATCCCCTATTTGTTTTTAAATAGGCATTCCCACCCTAGGGAAGAATGTGGTTGTAGCTGGAAGGTCCAAAAATGTTGGGATGCCCATTGCAATGTTGCTACACACAGATGGGGCGCACGAACGCCCTGGAGGTAAGCAAATCGCTTTCGGAAGAGTGTCTTCTCCCTTTTGGGAGACCTTCAGAGGCTGTCCTGGGGACCAGGTGTTCGCTTCGTTAAACATCCAAGGAACATTGTATTTGTTTGCATTTGTTGTAATTTTGTTAAAAGATGTCCTATAAACCTAAAACCCAAATATGCAAATTGACCGAACGGTGGAACAACTGGTGGAACGACTGGTTGCTGTGATGCACACTGACCCACCAGGGGACAGAGCTCCACGTAAGAGCTGCCCCCTGGTGGTAAGTGTGCTCCTACAGGGGGGGTGGCTGCTCGGCTAGAAGCCAGGCTTATGGCTGGTGAGCACAGCAGCCGTGGCAGGAGCCTCTTGCCTTCGCTGTAGGTGGGTGGTAAGGAGCAAAGGGATCAGGCCTAAGCTGGCAGGCAGACATCCCCCACAAGGTCCCAGACTGCTAGAGGGTGCAGGCCAGGCTAAGGACCCTCTTCCCCCCATCCCCCCGCCAGTGCACAAATTTCATGCACCAGGCCTCCAGTTTGGGGTATAATCTTTGTAGGAGAAGCTGTACTTAGTGTCACCTGAAAGTTTATTTATATTCATTTATTATGGAACTAGTTCAGAAATGGATAAACCTCAAAAATTATAAGTATAAGCATGGTTGTAGGCAATTAAAAGTTTTCAGTTATGGCTTTGATAGTTGGAATTAAGAGGCAATTTGGTAAAAGTCACAAGAAATTGAGTATTAATTTAAAAAAAAAAAAAAAAGACAATTGGCTGTCCAGAAAATATGGCACATGAATTAAGCCAATTATTTTCTCAGACATTGAGTATCTGCAATGGTTTGCCTAGTTGACACCTCCTCCAATCCCAGCTTTGATTCAGAAATCAAGACATTTACTTTTTAATTCATAGGTGATGCCACTGTTACAATATCTCACCGATACACCCCCAAAGAGCAGCTGAAGAAACATACCATTCTTGCAGATATCGTGATCTCTGCTGCAGGTGAGCACCAGGGAAGGGGACAGGAGGACATCCGCAGATGGACCTCTTAGAACTTGCCTGCCCCGCTGCCATTCCTTTCCTTAGTGCCCCAGGATGACACCACGAGCCGCCGGCAAAGATGAGGAAAGAGTTGTGCTTGGTATAGTGGTTTCCGTCATTTCATCATGGACTTGATGGGATGAAAGTTATTTCTATAGTCTCAGAGGATTTCTGTTTGCTCTATGAAGTTTAAACGTTTCCTTGGTGAATGGTTCTCGTAGGTATTTATAAAACAAGCTAACTAGTTCTTCCAGGTCTCTTGAAATTGAAATTAGATAAGAATCTGACGGGCGATTTCCGATGTTTCAGTAAGGTGATCGATCATTCCTGTTTCCATTTCCCCAGGCATTCCAAATTTGATCACAGCAGATATGATCAAGGAAGGAGCAGCCGTCATTGACGTGGGAATAAACAGAATTCAGGATCCCGTCACTGCTAAACCCAAGTTGGTTGGAGATGTGGATTTTGAGGGTAAATAGTACAATTTAAAAAAATATGTAAAATCAATAACTGCCACCATTAGTGGGTCTTTAGGACTAATCTTTTTCATATAAGTTTTAAGCTCATGTTACTCTGGTAATACCATTTAAAAGGCTTTCAACGGGAATTAAGAGATGTTTTTTAAAGTTATAGACATTCTAGCCGAAACCGGTTTGGCTCAGGGGTAGAGCGTCTGTCTGCGGACTGAAAGGTCCCGGGTTCGATTCCGGTTGTGGGCACATCCCGGGTAGGGGGTGTGCAAGAGGCAGCTGGTCGATGTTTCTCTCTCATCGACGTTTCTAGTTCTTTATCTCTCCCTTCCTCTCTGTAAGAAAAATCAATAAAATATATATTAAAAAAAAAAAGTTATAGACATTCTAGAATTGTTTTAGTTGTTTATATCATAACATTATGGAGAGCAGGTATAAACTTTTCAGGGAATTGTTTTTCCTTAGTGTTATTTCATAATTAAAACATCTTTAAGACTTTTTTTTTTTTAATTTTTTTTATTTTATTGATTTTGTACAGAGAGGAAGGGAGAGAGATAGAGAGTTAGAAACATCGATGAAAGAGAGTCATCGATCAGCTGCCTCTTGCATACCCGCTACTGGGGATATGCCCGCAACCAAGGTACATGCCTTTGACTGGAATCGAACCCGGGACCCTTCAGTCCCCAACTCAACGCTCTATCCATTGAGCCAAACCGATCTCGGCCATCTTTAAGACTTTTAACAAGTCTGAAAATTTAATGAAGTGATTTTTCTAAACCTGTGGTCAGCAAATTTTGGCTCTCTGGCCCCTAATTCAAGTAGGCTCTTCCACAAAAATACCACAGCCTGAGCGAGTCTATTTTGAAGAATTGGTGTTAGAAGAAGTTTAAGTTCAAAAAATTTGGCTCTCAAGAAATTTCAATCATTGTACTGTTGATATTTGGCTCTGTTTACTAATGAGTTTGCCAACCACTGCCCTAAACCATTGAGTCTCCTAAAAAGTGTTACAGATTTCTCATTTTAAGAGGAGATCCCAGGCCTGGAATGTTAAAACAGTCCAGGAAAAAGCCATGTTCTTGAAAATTTGGCACTTCCTAGTACTGTAGGTGTTTCCTTTCAGTTCATAAGGCATTATGTTTATCTGAATTTTATGCTATTTTTAGCTTTCCCTTTCTATTAAAGCAGTCAGACCCAATCCTAGGTAACCAAGTGTTTTTTTCTTTAAGATTGAGTTAAAGACCTGGCCAGGTGCTCACCAGTTGGTTAGAGCAGTGGCCGCCCACCTTTTGGACCTCACGGACCACCAGTTAACTACTGCTGGGTTGGAGCATAGTCCCGATTCACCAAAGTTGCAGGTTCAGTCTCTGGTCAGGGCACAAACAAGAAGCAACCAGTGAATGCATAAATAAGTGGAACAACAAATAGATGTTTCTCTGTCTCTCCCCCTTCCTCTCTCTAAAATCAATTTTAAAAGATTGGATTAAAAAATGTTGTTTCTTTCCAGAAAATTGCTCTGCTTGGTATTTTGGGCAAGCAGTATGAATAAATATAGCATATAACATTAAGAAAATGTTGCCGAAACCGGTTTGGCTCAGTGGATAGAGCATCGGTCTGTGGACTAAAAGGTCCCGGGTTCGATTCTGGTCAAGGGCATCTACCTTGGTTGCGGCACATCCCCAGTGGGGGGGGTGCAGGAGGCAGTTGGTCGATGTTTCTCTCTCATTGACGTTTCTAGCTCTCTTTCCCTCTTCCTTCCTCTCTGTAAATCAATAAAAATATATATTAAAAAAAGAAGATGTTTCTCTCTCCTCTCTGAAATTAATAAAAATCTATTTAAAAAAAAGAAAGAAAGAAAATGTTGTAGGCAGGTATTAATTGAGGTAATGCTTATAGTAGACCACCCATACAGTCAATCTACTGAGATGTTTCATTTTTTTGTTTTGTTTTGTTTTAATATATTTTATTGATTTTTTACAGAGAGGAAGAGAGAGGGATAGAGAGTTAGAAACATCAGTGGTAGAGAAACATCGACTAGCTGCCTCCTGCACACCTCCCACTGAGGATGTGCCCGCAACCAAGGTACATGTCCTTAACCGGAATCGAACCCAGGACCTTTCAGTCCGCAGACCGACGCTCTATCCATTGAGCCAAAACGGTTTCGGCGAGATGTTTCTTTTTTTTTTTTTTTTTTTTTTTTTTTTTTTTATCTCTAAAAATTTTATTGTTCTTTGCACCGTAATTCTTCTCTTAAACACAGAAATGACTCTTCGAGATGTTTCTTTTTAAGTAGACTTGCTATGGAGGAAAGTGTGGCTGGTAGATTATAGGTGATTTAGATTTATAAATATTCCTTGAACAACTTTGCTTAACATGTACATGTTATTAGTATGTTCAAAAGCCTTTACTCTTGAGTAATTAGATGTAATTAATGTGAGTTTGAGGTTTAGGAAGGTGCTTATGTATATTCTTTTTTTCCCCCCAGTGCTTCCCATGATATGTTAAAATACACACATGTGCTTTGTCATAACTAAAGCAGTCTGCTGTCTTGTTTCTTCTACACAGAAGTCCGGAAAAAAGCCGGTTACATCACTCCGGTCCCTGGGGGCGTTGGTCCCATGACAGTGGCGATGCTAATGAAGAATACCATTATCGCTGCCAAAAAGGTGCTGAGGCTGGAAGAGCAGGTGGTACTGAGGTCTAAAGAGCTTGGAGTGGCAACTAATTAACTCTTGTGTCTTCCGGGTCATGAACAGTGCTCCACGCCAGCTCAAGAGGCAAAACAGGCCAATAGGAATGCAGCATCTCTTATTTATTCTGCTGACAGGGTTTTAAACAATGCTTTGTATTTATTGAAAGCTCACATGTATGGGTGCTTGTGCACATAGCTCTCCCTAACACCTCACCAGGGACCGTGCCATTATCATGCTGGGTCATGTGATCTGGCCAGGGGAGGAGCCATTAGCCTGGTGGTGGCATGGGGGTGGACACTCAATAGGGAAGGGCTGCTCTGCTTTGTCAGACCTTCAGTTACAAATTGCCTTCTCCAGGATTGCATTTCCCAAGTGCTATTCCAATAAGAGTTGATGCTCGCTTTAGGTTCCAAACCTTTTGAGCTCAACTGGTCAAACCAAAGGAAAAATGTTGCTAGAGAAAATTAGGGAAACAGTACAAAAGAAGAAATGATAGTAATTTCAGGAGAAAAAATGTACCCTAATTTTATACTGACTGATAACCAGAAGAAAAGCTATCTGTTAATAGTATCCTGTCGCTTTAAAGCTACATTAGTCATTGGGAAAATGTTTGTGTGCTATTCGCCTTTATTTTATGCGTGTTCCCTTTCATGAGGTCCCCTTTTGGTTTTCTGGGGTCAAAAGCTTATTTTATAAGTAATTCACGTGTATTGTCATATTTGGTTTTTCCTATTTCCTTAATTGTTAATTTTTTTGTACTGTTTGGGAGGTCTGTATGGTTTCTTCAGTAGATCTTGAAACCTATTTTTGAATAACAAAAGTTGGCTTGATCATCATGAGGGCGGTTGTATAAGTATGCAATTGCCTTTTCCACCAAAGAATTGCCAGCCTGCTGCCTGCTTTCTCTGATGTACCTATTTGCTTTCCCTGGTAGGTTTTTGAGAGCTTGAGTTAATATTGAATTTAATCAGACTTTCTGATTAAGTTTTTGTTTTTTTTATTATTTTTTTTTAAATAAAACACTGACTAGTACAAAATGAGTTTCTGAAATACTGTATCTAACTGCTACTGTATTGTGACCTAACCACAGTGTCCTCATTGGCTATAATCGATCCAGCTATTTCTGTAAGTGGTAACACCCACTCCAGTGCCTTCCACAAAGTGGTTTAAGAGCTGTGGAGAGACCAGCCTAGTCCACTTAACCTCCAACAGGTTGTGCCGAGCTGGGATCTTAATTGGTGAGATTCACGTAAGTGGTTAATGTTGTTCTGCGTATTTTCTAAACCATGCATTCAGTTTACACATTGTTCCATTTACAAACAACTTGATGTCCTTCCCAAGTCTCTCCTCTCTTTCTCATCGTGTGTGTGTGTGTGTGTGTGTGTGTAATAGATGACAGATTGGAAGGTATTGGTGCACGTTTTGAGGCTCGGATAGGTCCCACCAGGACTGGGAATTCTGGTTCGCGCAGGCAAAAGCAGCTCTGGCTCCAGGCAGCTGGAGGCAGATGGAGAAGGGAGAACAATGGGGAGTTGACCTATTCCCTCCTGTTCCTCTGCCAGCTGCCTTTATTCTTTTGATGATTTTCTGGAGATGAAAGAAGACCCTAGTTTGTTAGAGATGTTTTTTTGTAAGTGCGAGTAGCTGGTGTCCATAAGCCATGCCTGCTGACTTACCTAAATTATTAAACACGGAGGAAGGTGAGCAGACAGGATTACATTTTATTGAACTGCAGTTACAAGCGGGAAAATGTACTGACCCGCACGGATAAGTATCATGTCAGCCTGTACAAAGCTAAAATGTTAAAATGTTCGTGTATATACAAAATATAAATGACATGAGGTGAAAATTACAGTGATCAATTTACAGAACAAAAAAATTAACATTGTGGTTTTTCAGTTTGATTAATCCAACACATTTACTCCTGAATCCATAACATTTCTACAATTCAATTTGGACAAAGTGCTACTGAAAATCAGCCAAGTTTTAACAGTGAGATGTTAAGGGTAGGTTGTTAGCTCCCCAAGGATAGGTTCAGATGAAGATAAAGATTTATACTTAAACTCAGGTGATGGTTCTAGATTAGTGGGCAGCAAAGTAATTCAGCTGCTATAGAAGTAACAGGTTTAGAGTTTTACCTCTTGGCAGTATCCCCTGGAAGGGAGCTCTGAGATTTAATTTAATAAACAAGTAAGAGCTTTCTGTGGGCCAGTCACTACAAGGCTTTAGGAATTACAGAAACCTTTAACTGTTCTCTTGACTCAAGTTGTTAACAGTCTAGTGTCATTTGTCTAAAAAGTAGGAATAAAGAAAGAGCACCTGCATTTGTCACCTTGAGTAAATGTAACAAACCAAAGTGATTTACTCAAAGATTCAAATCCTAGTTGTTTTAAGTCAGGTGCATTATGGCTCTTAGGCACATAGTAGTTGTTAAATGAAAACTTGGTGTTGGCAAAACATGGATTAAAGATAAAGACTGATCTTGTTCCTTGAGGAAAGGATTTGCTTCATCAATGATGGGTTTTAATCCACCCAACTTGCTTCCAATCATTTCTTGAAAGCATTAGTCTCATAATACAAAGTTATAATCTTTCCAAATTTGACATCAGCTCTGCCCAACTGCAGTGTTGATGTGAATGGGAGTTTGACTTTGGGAATGGGGCCATTGAAAACTTGCAGGAAGGACCTACCCACGTGTCCCGACATTCGATTCTGGGCATGAAAAATCAGTGATGTTAATTCAGAGAATCATTTTGTTGATTTAACGTGATTTGAGGTTTTACTCTACCAACTTTTATTTTAAAAATATTTATGCTCTCCAGTGTGTTGGTTCTTTTATTAGCAGACTTTTCAGTCTGGGAAAGCCCCAGTCACACTTCTGTGCTGGAGCAAGGCCTGTAATGCAGGGCGGTCAGGCCTTTTGAACGATCCTTAGCAAATGGAACGAGATGGAGTGGAAAGATAGGACTTTGAAGTGTTTCCTAATGTGAAAAATTACAAGATGAATTTTTCAGCCTTGCTCTACTGAAGTGCAGGTATTTTAATAACTTTCAAAATCATCTAGACACTTAAAAAACACACACCCTATTTTCAATAAAAATGGACTGTTGCACCTTTAACCACAGTTTTGGGAGGTAAGCATTTTTTTTTTCTTCAAAAGAAATGTTATAATTTCTATGCTGACTTGCGTTTTAAAATAACGTATAACATGTTGCTTTACTTATTGCATACGTACAAAGGAAAGGGGAGATTTTGCACCTAAGTAGTGCTTTTCATTGACGATTCCCAGTTTTTTATCAACTGGAATAATGACTGGTAAATAAGGAAACGGGCTCTGAGAAGTTCAGGGTTGTGGCCCAGGCCCTCAGGATAAAGACTAAACCATGCCTCCCCACGCGCGCCCCCCCGCCCCCCTCTGGGGACACTGTCCTCCTAGAGTGAGGTCTCGCCGACAGCATCTCTTCCATACACATCCATGTCTGTGAAGTCACAGTCTGACTCCATCTCTATCTTCACCTGCGGCACCATGAACACTGGCCTCTGAGAGTAGCTGAAAGCAGGTGAAGCAGGACAGGAAATTTTGAAGTGCAAGGTGATGCTGAGTGAGAAAAGGGAGCGTGATTTATCCAGTGTTTGGTGTTTTTCGTGCCATCCCCTAGAGCAGGGCTCTAACACAAGTAGTTCTGTCTTAGGAAATCTTATCTCAGCAACTAGCAGTATCCTACCTGCTTGGCCTTCAGCTATAGACACTACTATTGCCCTGTTTCAACCTATTCACATTGCTGCCAGAGCGAACTGTCTGGATCACAAACCTGCCTGTGGTTCCCCACTTTAATCTTTCCGTGGTTTTCAAGATGTAGCACCGAGCACCTTGGCGCACAGGCTCCTGTGCTCACCCTCCTGTTCACTTGCAGTTTGACTGTGTTCTTTGGCCTGAGTGTGTGTGTGTGTGTGTGTGTGTGTGCATTTTCAAATGGCATTTCTGGTCTGTTCTCGTGCCTGGAATGTCCTTTTTCTCCCTTTTCCTCACTCTAGTGGCTGGAGGACTCCTGTGTATTATTCCCAGGTGTTCCAGGTAAGGCAGATCGATCCTTACACCGCTGTCCATTATTCTTGGCACAGGGTGCTGTGTGTCCCTGTCCACGTGCCTTCCTGCTTGGTAGCTTATGATGCTAGCCTTTGTTAAATTAGATCATGTTGCTGAGCCTTTTTCTCCACTTTTTCTCCTGCTGCTTCGTGGTCTCCGCCCTCACAGGTTTGGTAAAACACCAGTGCAGTTGGGAGGTGCCGCTGCCAGTTACCACATTTGTCCCATGCTTTGTATAATTTAACAGCGTTTTTGAAATGCCCTATCTTGGTCCAAATTTCCTCTCCACTGACTGAAATTGGGGCAATCAGAGATTCAACTTAGTGTAGGCTATTTTAAAGGGAACGTCAGTCAGGGTGGACAGGTTGCTCTCTAACACATTTCTCTATAAAGACCAGTGGAAAGGGTAGGAAGAGCCTGGGCTGGGAGGTGGGGTGAGAAGGTGGGCAGAGAGTGCTGGGGCGTGTGACACTCCTGGGCTGGAGCAGCCCCGGGCCAGCGTGAGGGAGGCTCGTCCTGGTGACGAGATTCCTTTCAGCGGGGCCTGTGATAGCAGTTCTGACTTAGAGCTCAGAAGATCCCGTACGTGTTTCCTCAAACCCTTGAGAGAGTGCCGTGTGAGTGGAGGGTTATCTGCCTCCAGACTCTGGGCAGCCTGCACCTTCACTGTGACCCAGTACTGAGGGCTTTCCGTCCAGTGTGGGGCACTGTAAGCAGGACTGGCCCTGCTTTCTTCCCTGTTAATAACCGAGACAGACTGGTTTGCCTCTGAGTTGTTCTTTTCCATTTTTGAGCCTCCTTTGTTTTCAGCCATCAAGGAGCCCCACTTTCTGCATGGGTGGCTCTCATTTAGATCAGATAGGAACCGCCTTGTGTTGAATGCTTTCTGGCCTGTTCTTGTCTCCCCTGATCTTTGATATTCAGTTCTTTTTCCTTGATACCCCCCTGACTGCTAATTAACCATGCTATCATTTGATTGCACAGAGTATTAGGGTTCCTGATGCTTGGGCCCTTAGAGTTGCCTTATCCTGGCTTCCCATAATATACAGCACTTAAACCACATCTGGTTTTCCTCTTATGTTGTTTTCTGTTTTTCAGTATTTACTTTTCATTTTCACTTTCCCTAATGTTTTATGATAAATTCCTCCCCTAAAATTGGATACCTTTGTGTGTTGTAATCACGTTTTTATGTCTAGAGGACAATTTTGTTATTGGACACCCACTAATCCGGACTGTCAGCCTTTCTCTCCTCGGCAGACCACAAAACAAAGGCCTTTTGCTGAGACACTGGTGAGGCTGGGAGTTCCTAGTCCCTCAACCTTCCTGGCCACTGTTTATTTTCCTATCCAATACCCAAGGAGGACACGTCATGGCTGTTACCTTCGGTCAAGTTCTGAGTCACTGAAGGAAGAGTCAGAACGAGTAACTCCAACTGGAAGATCTTTTCCCTGGCAGGAAAAGTAAAATGTCAGAGGTGGAGCAGATTTGAGGACTCCACTAGAGGAGATCCTTTTTCCAGTGCTTCCCTTACCCATTCTGTCTCCTTTCTATTCTCTGGCCCCAGGGCCAACGCTGCACAAGAGGGTTACGGGGCCCTCGCTAGGGTGGGTGGTTTAGTTGTTCCTTCATTAGAAGGCTCAGCCGGGTTAGGTGGGTGGGAGGCATGGGGAGGACCAGGGAAGAGCGAGAAAGGGTGATGAGAAGTGGGGAAAGAGAAAGTCTCTGATGGTGAGTGTGATGGGAAGCTCTGGCAAGCTCTATATTAGGAGCAACAGGGTCTGGACCCAGGTTGTGATCTCAAGCTGTCTTGTCTCAATGACAGGACTGTCTGCCAATAGGGAGCTGAGGCTAGGCTCGGGTAAAGGCAGCAACAGAATCCCCCAGGATCTTCCCTTCCAGGAAGCCTCCTTGTCAGCGGGCAGAAGATGCTCGCTATGTACAGAATAACCCCAACTACTGTGAACCAAGTTACACTCCGAGTGCAATGCTACCTATTTCACTAAAGGACCACTCACTGGGCCAGCATGGCTCACTGGTTGAGCATCAGCTTAGGAACCAGGAGGTCACGTTTGATTCCCAGTCAGGACATATGCCTGGGTTGTGGGCTCGATTTCTACACCTCCCCTGCCCCGCCCACCATGTGGGGCATGTAGGAGGCAGCCAATAACTGATTTGAATGATTCTCTGATGATTCTATCTCCCTCTGAAATCAATAAAAATATATTAAAAATACATAAAATAAAGGACAACTCAGTTTGGATTTGAGCTCTCCGTTATCTCAACCATCCCCAAGAAACATGTTCTGCCTAGCACAGTGGTCCTCTAGCATCTAAGACCACCGGATTCCCTGAATTCAAGATGGACGTTCCTTGAGGCGGAGGGTTAGAAAGGAGGAAACACCATGCGTTTTACTTACTGGCAATGCAGTGGATACCGTTTTGGGGGTCTATTTGGACACTTTCCATGGGAATCTTTATAACGGAGGGAGGAGGGAACTGGGGCTGGAGAGAAACAGTGGGAAAAGCTGATGAACACCAGTACAACCGCATTGCCTTTCTGGCCAAGATGGAAAATACATCATCCACAGTGTGCACAGTGCCATCCTTGCCTCCAGACTAAATAGGGGCTGCTGCCAACTGGCATCCCACGGTTAGCCCACTGTCCTAGACAGGATGAAACTACTGGGAACGTTACTCAGAACGGTTTCAACTGTTCAGGTGACCAGTCACCTGGGAGTGAACCTCAGTTGTGTGTAAGGATGTGTGTGAAATGAATTTGTGTAAATTGAATCCCCTTTTTCCATTGGATATATCATGTAATCCAGAGATGTTTTTCCCCAACCCTGGAATAGTTCTGGGCACATGGTAGCCATTCAAGTATTTATTGAGTGAATCTGTATTTGTCTCTAAAAGGCACTTCGACTTGGTTTCTTTGTTCTTAGAACCTGTCTTTGAAAATCGTTTAAACCATCAAAGAAAAACATGAATAAATGATGGGCCTCTTCCCTTCCTAGGAGAGTATAGTACTGACCAGGGAGTTTGGAGCCCTCACTTCCATCAAAAGATGGTTGAATCAACACCAATCAGTCAGCAAGGATTTACTAAGAGTTTTGATCTGCAAAAGGCAAGATCGCTAGAAGAATTCAAGGATGATGCGGGGATGTGGTTTTAGGTCAATCTGGGAGAAGGGGGTCCAGGCCTGGTATTAGGAATGGTCATGGGCAACTAGGTATACTGGAGATGACCAGATGCAAAGTCAGGAGTGATTGTCTTAATTCTCTCTAAGGCATTTAGCTCTGTCCATCTTGGGTGAATCACTTCCCTTTAGTAGTGAGCACTTGAACTAGACAATCTTTCTGTCTAGCAATTTGTGACTTACTATAAGTTTTGGACTGGCTTCTTGTCTGTTGACTCCCTAAGTGTTTGGGGGGTGGAATGGGGAGGAGACATGGGAAAGAGGAGGGGTAGTCAGGGCAACCAAGTGGTTGTGGGCATCTGGGAAAGGTAGCCCCTCTCCTCTCAGTGAGGACTATGCCTCTTCTCACCTCCTGCCCTGACACCCTAGGGGCAGGACTAAGCAGACCTTGTCCTCACCCTCCTGTCTGTCCCAGAGTCCAGTCTCCTAGTGAGCTCCCGTCAGAACCGCCCCACCACCTGCTCCATTTGGAGGCCAGTCCTAACCACCGCTGTGATGGAGCCAAGCTTTGCCCTGTTCCTTTAGGGGACTGCACTGCTGTTGATAATGGCCAACGTTTCCCTGGGTCGGGGCTCCTTCCCTCTGGCCCACCCTGATGATCGTCACAGAAACACAAGCTCTCAGCACCCAGACCAAGATAAGCAGAAGCCTCGGCCCCTCCTGGACTGGTTGCTGCAGGCTGCCTGAGAGGCCACCCATTCCTGGCCCTGGCTGATGTGGAGGGAGGGGCTCAGTCCCGCCCCCCTTCCATCCCCCTGCTAGGCCCAGGCTCATATCCTCCCCACCTCCTTGTCATTGTCCTCATGGGCCCCTTTCCTGCTCTTTTTCTTCTTATCTGTCTCCTTCTTCTTCTCTGGGAGGATGTTGTCGATCCAGGCCAGGTCGTGCTGGGAGAAGACGAGGTCCAGCAGCCTCCGGACGATGATGAGGCCCAGGATCTGCAGTGAGAGGGGGGAGGAATGGAAGGCTCAGGTCCCCACACCTGGGCACAGCTGTTCTCCCTCAGCAGCCATGTTCAAGGACATCTGGTCAGTGTCTTCGGAGCCGTCCCAAAGTTCCCACAACCGTTACTCACCAACTGCCCGCCTTGGATCCTAACTGGCTTTCCGCAGTGGCGATGCCTACCCGTGACCCTCAGGGACAGCGCGCGATGGCTGAGGCGGGGAGCCAGGTGGCAGCCATGGTCGGAGAACTACAATTATCCTTTAAATCAGTGGTCCTCAGACTTAAGCTTGCGTCAAATCCCACACTGCTGGGTGCTGGGAGACCCTATCGAGAAGCCTGGATCAAAAATCACTACAGAGAGCCAGCCCTTCAGGAGGGCACACCTCACATCCCCCTCCTGTCAGCTCTGGCCCCGGCTCCGGCCCTGCAGGCTTTGGGGCCACCAGCGCCTGGGGCCCCTCCCCTGTGCTGGACTTCTCTAGGAGCCAGAGGCAACATGGTTTTGGCTTTTTTCTTCTTTCTTTTTCTTCTTTTGGAATACTTTTTAAAATATATATAGATATTATTGATGTTTTACAGAGAGGAAGAGAGAGGGATAGAGATTTAGAAACATCGATGAGAGAGAATCATCGATCGGCCACCTCCTGCACACCCCCCACTGGGGTTGTGCCCGCAACCAAGGTACATGCCCTTGACCGGAATCGAACCTGGGACCCTTGAGTCCACAGGCCGATGCTCTATCCACTGAGCCAAACCGGTTTTGGCTGGAATACTTTTGAACTTACATAAAATTTGCCAGAACAGCCACAGAACTCTCATGTCCTTTCCCCAAACGTGATGTTAATGACATTGGACTTTGAAGTTCTTCATCTCTGATTCTAGCTCTTCCCATCCCCCAGGTAGCTTCTCAAATTCAGTTAGTCTGAATGATGCAAGGTTGCCTCCTTTCTTTCCTTCCTTCCTTCCTTCCTTCCTTCCTTCCTTCCTTCCTTCCTTCCTTCCTTCCTTCCTTCCTTCCTTCTTCCTCACCTGAGGATAACTTTCCATTGAGTTTTAGGGAGAGTAGAAAAGAGAGGGGAAAACAGAGAAATATCCATGTGAGAGAAACATGGATTGGTTGCTCCCTGCACAAGGCCAGCCAAGGCCGGGGCTGGGGAGGATCCTGCAACCGAGACACATGCCCTTGACCAGAATCAAACCTGGGACCCTTCGGTCCACAGACCCAAAGCTCTATCCACTGAGCCAAACTGGCCAGGGCAAAGGGTTTCTATTTAGCAAGATCTACTTCTGCACTTGGCTTGAATGTCAGCAGTGCGGACCTCAGTCACATTTGCCCAGCTTCGCCACCTGCCCTGGAGCCGGGTGGCTGGGTGGCTTTTACACTCTCACCTGAGCTGAGCGGAGGTGGGAGCCACGGCAGCGTCTGTCCACCGCACAGACCACCTTCCGGGCCCTCCTCGCCACCTGCCCCTCCCCACCCACCTGCATTCACAGCTCCACTCTTGTGCTGTGCCTGCCTGACCGGAGTCAGGCCATCAGGGAGGAGAAAGCCAGAGTGGACCTCCAGCGGGAGGGAAGCCAGCCCGCTTCACTTACCATGACTGGGAAGATGATGGCGGCCACCGTGGACTTGAGGACCCAGAGCACGGCCAGGCAGAGGACCTGCACCAGCGTGAAGAGGTGGATCCGGCGCAGGGGCACGTGCCGCAGGAAGGCGTGGTCCGGCTGGTGCTTGGCCGGCATCAGGAAGAGCTTGCAGCGGTCCCAGAACTGGGGAGGGAGCCGAGGCTCAGCCAGCAGCGGGGACAGGAGCCCTGCTGGGGCCGGGGAACGGGCAGCGGTGTGCAGTGGGTGGGGGGCCTCAGAGAAGGGAGCCCTTGGTCAGGCGTTAAGCATGCGCAGAGAGAGAACCGAAGTCTAGGAGGACATACAGCGAGATCTTACTCAGCGAGAGCTCAGGGGAGGGCTGGGCCCTGGAACTGGCCACAGATGAAGACCGGCCACAGTCAAAGAAAATGCAACTTAATTGCAACACAAGTAATTCAAGACATCCTGGTATGTCATGGTAAATAACAAACAAAACAAGCCCGGCCGGTGTGGCTCAGTGGTTGAGCATCGACCTGTGGATCAGGAGGTCAGGGTTTGATTCTCAGGGCACATGCCAAGGTTGCAGGCTCATCTCCAGTAGGGGGCGAGCAGGAGGCAACTGGTCAATGATTCTCATCATTGATGTTTCGAGCTCTCTTTCCCTCCTCTCTAAAATCAATATTTATATATATGTGTGTATATATATATATATATATATATATATATATATATATATAGAGAGAGAGAGAGAGAGAGAGAGAGAGAGAGAGAGAGAGAAACAGTGTTCTGTGAGTTGCCCTAGAGAAGTCAGAGGTGTAGTGAAATGCTCACTGGAGTCAGCCCCATCTGAGCTTTGAATTCTGAGCCTCTTATTTCCTCATTTATAAAATTGGTATCAGAGGGCCTCCTTACACAGATTTAATTATATAACACTATGAAGTGCCTGGGATAGTGGTTTTACTTGGCACATACATAGTCAGTGGTAGTCTTATTATTACCATCATTATTTCATTGAACTGGGAGAGCGAGCACTTGGGATCTTGGTGACACGGACGCGGAGCAGGGACCCCGGGGAGGGCTTACCTGGATGCCGTTCAGGGAGGCCACGCCCATGTAGAGGAAGACGCCGTACAGCACGGGCATGGGGATGTACTGAAACGAGAGGGGAGCAGACTGGCTGAGCCTCTGCCTGGGGCCAGCTGTGGACTGCCCTGTTCTGTTTGCAATTGTCTGCCGGGCCACAGAGGCAGCCCGCCTGCCCGGCTTCCCCGGGCGGAAGGAGCTGAGAGCAGATGTGGAGCCAGAGTGCCAGTGGGGAAGGCGATGGCCTCTGGGGCACTTCTGCCGCCTTCCTAGCTGGGTGGGCAGCCCCGTGTGCAGTGCTCCCCAGCGTGGCCCCCAGTTTCGGGCCCTGGAGTGCCACGTGGTCTGAAGACGTAGCTTCTGGAACATGGGAAAGCTTCATAGGGAGCCCCCTGCTTATTCCTGTCTGCCCCTCCCACCTCCAGCCCCCGCGGAGGGCCGAAGCGCGGCTGCTCAGTTTGTAGGGAGCTGGGAGACTAATGAGTGATCTGCACCTGCCTAACAAAACCCACTCATCACACACGAGCATATGAAAAAAACAGGAGGAGCCCGGCCGGCATGGCTCAGTGGTTGAGCGCCCATCCACCTATGAACCAGGAGGTCACGGTTCGATTCCTGGTTGGGGCACACGCCTGAGTTGTGGACTCGATCCCTAGTGGGAGGCCTGCAGGAGGCAGCCGACCCGTGATTCTCTCTCATCATGGATGTTTCTACCTCTCTCTGTCTCTCCCTTCCTCTCTGGAATCAATAAAAATATATTTAAAAAAGAAAGAAAACAAGAAGAAACAAAACAATGTACATGTCAACCACCACTACACACCAGCTCACCACTAGTGCTCACAGGTAGATGGCCTACTTTTTCAACAACGGCATCATATCATTGGACTGTCCTGTAGTCGCCATTATGACTCTTTAGAAGCATTTTGAGGTATTTCCCCACGGGGTGTGTCTGTCTGTCTCTCTCTCTCTCTCTCTCTCTCTTTCTCTCTCTCTTTTAGTAAATTTTATTGATTTTGTACAGAGAGGAAGGGAGAGAGATAGTTAGAAACATCAATGAGAGAGAGTCATCGATCAGCTGCCTCTTGCACACCCCCTACTGGGGATATGCCCGCAACCAAGGTACATGCCCTTGACCGGAATCGAACCCGGGACCCTTCAGTCTCCAAGCCGATGCTCTATCCATTGAGCCAGACCGGTTTCGGCTCCCCACGGTCTCTTTATGCCGTGTTTTTACTTTCACTTTAGCTGCTCCTGAGGCTCTTCACTACGAACCAGGCTGCTCTGCCTCACTCCCGGGGCTTTCGTGTTGGAGCATGTGATGTGGGAGAACCAAAGTGCCACGCCCAACCGTTAGACACTATTTCAGAAGGTCAATGAATCTAGCCAAACATCCTCTTTTCAAAAGAAATCAGACTGTGTTCCTTTTTTGAACATAAAGCATGACTTGGACCCATAATGCTATAAACCTATGACATCTGAGCTGAAAGACAGGAACTGTGGGGCCAAGGCGTCATTCCATTTGTGCACAGCTTGGGAGGTGTTTGCTGTTTTATGAAACACGGTAAAAGTGTAAAGGAACAACACCAGTCCTCAAGCTAGAAATACTTCCCGTGGCAAAGGAACCAATGAACAACACGGCACCCTGAATGGGTGGGTCATTCTGAGATATTCATGGGGGGCGGGGGAGGCAGCTACAACTAAGATGAACTCCAGACAGCAAAGTCTTTGTGGGCAATGATTATGGGAAAGGGCCACTGACAGGTGTTCCGTGAGGAACTCTGTCCTCAAAATTCACGTGTGGAAGTCCTAACCCCCAGGATCTCGGAGTGAGGACACACTCCGAAGGAACTCCCGTTGGATGATTCCGTCTCTTCCAGCTGCTCTGGAGGGACGGATGGGAGCCAGGGGAGCTTCAGACCGTGTTGGGAAAAGTCACTATGTGCCCAATACGCGCAGGATAGAAACGCAGGAAACGGGCCCCGAGGACACGTACAGAAGCAAGTTGTAAAGCCAGGAGGCCTCTCCTGAGCCATAAACACAGCGACGTGGACACACAGCCAGCTCGGGAAGCTCCTGACTTAAGCGATGGGCCTCGGCAGAACTTCCTAAGGGCGGCGTCGCACAGAAAGGTGAGGTGGCTCCTGGGAGGGGTGATAGAACAGCGAGGCCAACGGCTGCTGATAATAAAGGACACTATTCCAGAAAGCAGTGATGATGATGAAACGTCTCTTTGACCTCATAGAATCCTGCCTTTTTAGGGGCCATGGGGGACCCTGCCCCACCTTGGGGGCATCAGGCCAGGGGCTTCCCAGGCAGAAAGCGTCCTGGGGGAGGGGGCGGGGCCTCACCTTGAGGACAGGAGCCAGGAAGACGGAGATCCCCGTCAGGACGAAGACGATGGTGCCAGTCACTCTCTGTTCCCTGGCAGAGAAGAGCACATGGTCAGGTAGACTGGGAGATGCTCCGTGACCGTCCCGTGACCCTCTGTGGGCACCTCAAGGTCGTGGCCAAGGCCCTGGCCTCTGCCTTGTTCCCCCATTCCAGAGGGTAAGCCTGCTGCTCAAGGCCAGCTGAGCACACACAGGAGGACAGGGGGGCCCGACAGAGGCGAGGGTCTTCTGTGGGGGGTCTGGGAGGTTGTCCACCGCAGTGACTAATAGTGGGGGCTCTGCCGCTAACTGGTTGTGTGGCATCAGGCCCAAGTGTCTTCACTTCTGTAGGAGAGAGATAGTGGCACCCACCTGGGGGCTGGGTGGTTGTGAGAATGAAATGGGATATAGCCAAGACCGGTTTGGCTCAGTGGATAGAGCGTCGGCCTGCGGACTGGAAGGTCCCAGGTTCGATTCTGGTCAAGGGCATGTACCTTGGTTGCGGGCACATCTCCAGTGTGCAGTGTGCAGTGTGCAGGAGGCAGCTGATCGATGATTCTCTCTCATCGATGTTTCTAACTCTCTATCCCTCTCTCTTCCTCTCTGTAAAAAATCAATAAAATATATTTTTTAAAAAAGAAAAAAAAAAAAGAAAAAAGAAAAGAAATGGGATATAAAGTGCTTATTACAGCCGAAACCATTTTGGCTCAGTGGATAGAGCGTTGGCCTGCGGACTAAAAGGTCCCGGGTTCGATTCCGGTCAAGAGCATGTACCTTGGTTGTGGGTACATCCCCAGTAGGGGGTGTGCAAGAGGTAGCTGAGCGATGATTCTCTCTCATCCATGTTTCTAACTCTCTATCGCTCTCTCTTTATCTCTGTAAAAAAAAAAATCAATAAAATATATATATAAAGTGCTTATTACGCCTGCCCTTTGGCTATAATAAGATCCCACATTTGTAGGGCACAACTAATGAGGATTGGGGGAGGGGGCCTGGCTGCTGGCAGAGCAGGTCTGACTGAGAGGTGGGAGAGCAGGTGTGTGTTCCCGTGTGCCTAGGTCCAGACATGGTGCAGGTGGGAGCTGGGGGCTCTGGGCAGATTGCTCAGGCCCCTCTGTCTGGGGGCTGGGAGTTGGGGAGGGGACCGTGCCCTGATCAGAGAAGCCTCACTCTGGGCAGCCTGGGAAAGTGGGGGATCCTGGGGCAGTGGGGGAAGCTCTTAGAACAGCCACTTCTGAGAAGGTCAGTGTGTGGGGTGGGCTCAACCCGGAAAGCCTCAGAGGGGGAGGGTGTGCTTCTGGGTCTGAAGCAGATCAGGGGCCTGACATGGGCATGAGAGGAGCGGAGGGGACAGGCCATGGGCCTCAGCCCAGGAATGGGGACGGTCTGGAAGGCTCTCTGAAGGAATGGAGAGTGAGCAGGACCCAGACCCAGACCCAGAGGAAGGCTTCGGGGACAGTGAGGACAGGGTAAAGGGACGGGTCAGAAGCGGCCTGAGGGGCTCTTGAGGGGCCCATATAGGCGAGAGCTGAGCGTGTGGATATGGGCCGTGGTGGTGCTTGGAATCTATTGAGACAAAAAGCATCACTTAGCCGAAACCGGTTTGGCTCAGTGGATAGAGCGTCGGCCTGCGGACTGAAAGGTCCCAGGTTCGATTCCGGTCAAGAGCATGTACCTTGGTTGCGGACACATCCCCAGTGGGGGGTGTGCAAGAGGCAGCTGATCGATGATTCTCTCTCATCGATGTTTCTTACTCTCTATCCCTCTTTCTTCCGCTCTGTAAAAAAAAAAAAAATCAATAAAATATATATGTATAAAAAATAAAAAAAATTTAAAAAGCATCACTTAGAACTTAATCTTCACCTCCCTTCAGGAATATCACATCTCTCTGTGTGGCTCTGAGCTGTCAGAGCAGGGGCCCCTTTTGCCCAAATACCCCGATGGCAAAATAAACTTGCTTCCCCTCCCCCAAACGGACCAGTCCTGCTCAGGGGGTCCCCAAGCCCAGAGCCCCACCTACCTGACCCCCAGGAACTGGGGCTGCTCCCCGGGGGCGCTGGTCTCGGTTTCCATCTTGAGGCTGTCGATGTGGGCGATGGAGATGACGGTGGCCGCCACGTACCAGGGGAGCCCCATGAAGGAGCACAGGGCCATGAGGAGGCCCACCCAGAGCAGGTCCAGGTGGTAGCCGGCAGCTTTCTGCAGGGCGGCAGGGGAGAGGGGGCTGTTGCTGACGGGGACAGCGGGGTGAAGGGTTTAGACAGAAATCTCCCCGGAGCAGTCATTTGGTGGAGCATGGTTCAGGGCTCCCCTTGACCTTCTAGAGCAGTGTTTCCCAAAGTGTGGCACGCGTACCCCCAGGGGTACGGGAAGGGTTTGGTGGGGGTACGCGTTGCACCGGAGTTTGGGGGGGATATGCACTGCACCGTGCTCAGCTGCGCCTAATTCAACGTTCTCATGAGTACGAGGGGTACTCAGCCTTATGAAAATTACAGAAGGGGTACACCTATGTCAAAAGTTTGGGAAACACCGTTCTAGAGGGTCCGCAGAGGGGCTGCCATCCTACAGTGCCCAGGCCTCATCAGCCTCAGGGTTTGGTGAGCCAGGGAAGGGGCAAGGTGAGGGAGGAGAGGGGTGTTCAGACTCAAAGAGGCCCTGGGCTGGGGTCCTTGGGAAGGAGGGCTCCTACCAGCGGCCACAATATCTCTGCAGTTCCCGAATGGGGGCCCTGGCTGGGACAGGCCCTGGACCAAACCTACAGTGGTCCAGGTTGGGACGGGGGAGAGGGTAGCCTGAATCTCTCCAGACCCAGAGGCAGGGTGGGGCGTTGTAGGAACAGAAGAACTAAGGCTGCTCCTCTGCCTCATGGTTCTGGGTCAAAATCCCGTTAGGATCTGCTCTGACTCCCAAGGTCACTGTCAGGAGGCACAGAGCTGGGGGGTCTCCTTGGGAGAAGGTGCCCAGTGGCCCACGCTGGACTTGGTCCTGGTCTTTGGATCAAGTCCCTCTGGCCCTGGTGGCCTTATTGCATTTGCAGGTCACGTTTCTCCTCCACACACCAGAACTCAGTCTTCTGGCCTTGTATATCGCTTCAGAAATGGCCCGGAGTTCTGATAGACGCACCATCGACCCGCTCAGTTCCCTCTGACTTGGTGGGATGAGGGAGGCTGCACCCCTGCTCCCAGCACCAGCCTTACCCTCAGCTTGTTTTCCTTCCGGTTGACGATGACAGCTGTGATCTGCTGGTCCATGAATATCAGGATGGTCACCAGCAGGGCAGGCAGGATGCTCGCTGGGTACACCCACCACGGGTTCTTCCCAAAAGGGGCCACGAACCAGCCTCTGTCTGCCCGTGTGGGCTAGTGGAGCAAACAGAGAGGGTCCTTTCCTCTCTCCCTTGTCCCAGGGCACTGGCCACCCAGGCCCCCCCCCCCCCTTCCTGCCTCCATCTGGGGCACTTTTCAAGTGCAATCTTTTCCCATAAAGACATTGACACCTGCAACTTCAGAACAAAGAGAGCCTGAGGCAGACAGACTTGGGAAGGAAGGGCCCCTTGTGTCTGCAGAACTAAGGGGATCCGTTGAGGCAGCTGCCAGGGGTTCATTAGGAAACAGGGAGGTGCACAGCAGAGCAGCCACCACTTAATTGCAAACTAAAAAGGTGCAGCAATGAGGCCCAACAGGCAAGAATAAAGACTTGAGGGCCCACTGCCCTTGTGGGGTGCGCTTGAGCTCCTCAGGAGAACCTCCAAGTGACATTGTGAAGGTCAAGCCCTCAAAGTCAGGAAGGGCCAGTTCTAGAACCTGCACCTCCCAGCCCAGTACAGAAGGAGGGTGCTGCTTGGGAGGTAGTGGGACTCAAACTTAGCTACAAAAGCAAATGGCACAAACTGTGGCCTCTGGGGGTTGGGGAGGGGTGAGGATTTGTGAAGCAGTGGTTCTCTTGATGCTGGTCTGGGACCACACTTTGAGAATCACTGTTCTGAAGGGTCGTTTTTCAACAGAACCCAGGTGACCAGGCTTGCAGACTGCCTGGAGTCAGGGTATTGTAGGCCCTCGAGTGGCAATCAAGGGATTCAGTTAGATTCCATCACCTCCCCACCCTGTGGCCACACAGTGGGGTTTCGTTGTGAATATGGCCCCAACCCATCAGCCCATAGGATCTCCCCCGGGAGGCCGTTCTGGCCAGAAAGGGTGGAGCATGCACAGAGAACCCGCAGGGTCACTCGGCTGAGAGTCCTGACGGGTAGAGGGACCGGATCTGCAGCCGGTGAACGGCAGAGCTACTGCCCAGAGCAAACCTTGATGACACTGGGCACATGCAGCTTGGGGGTTTCCAGCCCGAAACAGGCATCGATTCCACAGAACAGCAGGATGGAGAAGACAATGGAAAAGTCAGCTACCAGGGCCCGGATCTGCAGAAAGATGAGCAAGTGATTGACATTACCCACCCACCTGCAGGTGGGTCTAGTTCCCAGGCAGCAAAGAGGAGGATGGTTAAGAGCATGGGCTTGACCTAGGCTCAGCCCTCTCTGGCTATGTGATCTTGGGAAAACTCATCATCTCTCAGAGCCTCTGTTTCCTCATCTGTTTAATGAAGATAAGGATACACCTACCTCATTGGCATAAGTGAGCTTTGATGCACTCCAAGGGCTTGGCATTTATTAGTCCAGTGGGAACTGGTGTTATGCACAAGGCATGGCAGCCATCGCTGACATTTTTTGATATGACAGACTGTCACCCAACAGTGGTGGTAAGGACAACGGCTGAGCTCTGAAGAAAACCTTAGCTCCTAAAAATGTGTGACAGATTGTTGCACTGCCACCCAGGCTGGGAGGGAAGGCTCCCAACTCTTCCAAGGACCCCTGGCTACCCTCAGACCTTCTTTCCACTAAGAGTCTGTGACCTATTGCTTCACTGTTTCAGAAGGCCCATCCTAGGCCAGGCTCTGGACCTCATCTCCCTGCCCTCTGACTGCCCTTCCATACCACTGGCTATCCTGTCACCATTTTTTTGTCTCTCTTCAGAGATAGCAGTATCCAGAGAACAATAGGGAAAGCAATTAGGAGGAACAGGGGCAGGCTAGGCACAATGAATTTGTCCCCTGTACCTCCTACTCCCCTTTAAAATCGGTATTAAAATAACATATGTAATTAATTTAAAACATTATGGAAAGAAACAAGATCTTAATAAAAAGGCAAGGTATATCATATTCATGGATCAGAAGACTCAAAATTTGAAGGTTGCCATTTTCCCTTACATTGACATGTGGAGTTAATATAATCTTATCAAAACTCTAATAAGTTTTTATTTTGGTGAAATTTAAGATGATTCTAAAACTTATGTGGAAATGCAAAAGGCCAAGGGGTTATTGAAAAAAGGGACAAAGAGGATGGTCTGCAAGATATACAGACTTATAAGATTGTGAAGGTTGTGTTATTGGCATACAAATAAACCAATGAAGCAGAATAAAGAACCTAGAAAGAGACCCCATCTTGTGTGAAATTTGATAAATGGCAAAGGAAGCATTGAAGAGCAGTGGGGGAAAGATTTTTTTCAAGTGCTGGAATAATGGACTATCTATACAAAAATAAAGAAATACTATTTCATACATATGTCAAAAGCAATTCTGATAGATTGTAGATCTAATATGAAAGGAAAACAATAAAACATTTAGAAGATAACATAAGAGAATTTCCTTGAGGAAAATTTTGATATATTTGATTACAGTAAAAGTAATAATTTCTATTAATAAAAAGATATCATTAAGGAAGTTACAAAGGCCAATAAAAGAGTGTGAGAAGATAGTTGCAACACATCAGGAAAATGGAAATTTAAAAAACACAAAGAGGTATTACTCCCACAAGAGATAAAAGTCTGACAATACCAAGTGGTATCAACAAGGGGACCCAGTTCTCTCTGACTCCAAGTCTGGGCTATTTACCTGAAGAACCTCAGTGGGCCCGTGCCGATGAGTCCATCCTGCGAGTGGGTGGGTGTCTTTCCAGGGAGATCTTGTGAACAGTCTGACTCTAGGCCCCCTTCTAACTGCAGGGTGAGCTCACCTTGGTAGGAAAATAGCGGCTGAACTTGAACTTCTTCAGGGTCAAGGTCATAGAGTACGTCCCGAAGAAAAGGATGAAGGACATGAGTGCCAGGTCGGGGATGAACTGGCAGGAGTTCCCAAGCAGGCGCCCACCGTAGTTCAGACACTCCTTCTTGCTCAGCAGGGACCAGTCCAGCGCTGTGAGGTTAAGGGGGTTGTACTTGGGGACCAAGCACAGGAGAGAAAGGGTCAGAGCCATCCTCATGGGTCAACTGTGCCTCCTGCCCCTGCCCTGCCGTCCCTAGGCAGCCCACATGCCCCTCCTGCTCTCTGAGGGGCCCTAGCCTTTCTGCCCCATGGCCCAGCAACAGAAGATGCTCCTGCAGACAGGCTGCTTTAAGGAAGGACCTACAGGAGGCTCCGTTGGGCGATTAGAAGTGGAGATGTGTTCTAGGGTGCACTGCTGTCAGCACGGAGGAGAAGCACAGAGGGTGGGATGCCCTCCTCCTCAGCAGGCCTCGCTCCCGCTCAGGCCACCTCCTTCCTGGAGTGTCTCACACTGACTCTTCCCTTTCCTGTCCCTGTACACACCCTCTCACATATTGGGGCTCATATCCCACCCGTGTTTGACCCTTCTTAGATCAGCTGCCTCAGGCATTTCCCTTTTGATATCCCCGATGCCTAAAATCCAGGGCACACGGCCATTTTACATGTATAAATATGGAGGACCGTATGGTACATATTCTTATGTATATTCCTATGCACATATTCATATACACTGAGTGGCCAGATTATTATGATCTCTGGCCACTCAGTGTATACCCTATATAATAAAAGGCTAATATGCAAGTTGTCCCCTCGACCAGGAATTTGACCAGCAGGCAGGGTGGCCAACCGCCCATGTCCCCTCCCTCTGGCCAGGCTGCTGGACCCCACCCACGCACGAATTCATGCACTGGGCCTCTAATACACACACACACACACACACACACACACACACACAAACACACTGAGTGTCCAGATAATTATGCATTCAGAGAGCATAATAATCTGGCCACTCAGTGTATATACATATATATGTATGTTCCTAAATGTACATAAGTGTACATATATATTCATATATGTCTCTAAGTATAATAAGAGAGGGTTTGTAATAAAATTTAATGTATTTTTAAAATTTAATGTGTAAATTTTTGGAACCTATATAATGAAGTAAACAGATGCTTGCACTAATAATGGATGTGTGGACTGAGACAAGTGTGGTAGTTTGCCATAATGACAATGTCCTAATGAATCATGACTCCCCGTGTCCACACTCCTTTGCAACGTGACACTGACAGTTATCATCAAGGTGCAGTCTATTTCTCCACCCCAGGGCCTGCTGAGACCAACAGGAGGGAGAGGAAGTGGCTCTGAGCAGGTTCTGAGCCACGGCCTCACGGGTCCTTGCGGCATCTGCTCTCACGCTCTTGAGGCCATGGTGCTGTGAGAAAGCTCAGGGCGGGAGGAAAACCACACGGAGAGAGAGGCCCAGCCATCTCCTGTCAGGTGCCCCGAATCACTGACGCAATTAAAAACACCCCCTGCAGGGTAGTACGCCTCTACTTTCCATTGGTCTGGCCCAGCGTCTCTCTCCCAGCTCATCTCTTGTGGTTTCCCTGCACAACCCCCACCTCACTCTGTCTCAGCCCAGCGGTCCACTCACTGTCCTGGACAGGTTTGTGTTTTTCCTTTTGTGCCCTTCTTTCTGTGCTGGTCCCTCAACTGGAATGGGAATGAGCTTCTCTCTACAGAAGCAACTTTCCCGACCTGTCAGCCCAGATGGCGTTCCAGGGTCCCCGGGAGGCCTTCCTCTCCAGCGTGGGAGCACTCGCAGCCTGTGTTTGGCACATGGCGTGCTCTGCCTGTGCTGTCCAGTACTTTCCAGTCCGTCTCCACAGGCTTAGGACAAGCAAGTGTGAGGGCAGAACTGGGTCTGTTTCCTACATGTCTCCTTAGCCCTCACAGCACACACTGCACCTTGCGGGTAACATGTATGCAGACACAGGTGCTGGCTGATCCCATTCTTCCTCTCTCACGATCAGATATTTGAAAAATCTTAGGTTAAATTGCCAACTGAGCTGGCAGCTACCTGCGTGGGGGTGACTGAAGGAGAGACCTTGGGGACATGAGAGGTTCAAGAACCTCCCCGAGCGCCAACCTACCCTTCACCTGGTTTTGGACTTCCCACCATTGGAGTCTGAATCTTTACACATTAAATTTTTACAATATGCATTAAATTTTACTATAAATTACTCTCCTAATCACGAGGGCTACTGCTTATTATTATTGGGAAAAGCAGGCCAGGTCTGAGAGCCTGGGGCCCTTGAGCACACAGGACAGATCAGACAGTGATGGGGGAGCATGAATAGGAAGTAAACAGGGAGGGGCCTGCAGGTGGGAATTGGGGATCCCAGGTAGAAAGGCAGGAAGAGGAAGGAAGGTGGGTGGGAAACTGTTCACAGCGCTGTTTACGCAGCCTTATTTATTCCTCCTGTCCACCTCCCCCGTGTGTGTGTGTGCGTGTGTGTGTGTGTGTGTGTGTGTGTGTGTGTGTGATATTTATGCACATACATCTTATGGAATAAGGCATGTTCTCAAAAGGGATTTTGACAGAATGTACATAAAATTAAAATGTGCATTGACAAGGCTCCACAGGAGACCCTGACGGGCAGCTGGGTTGACCTCTGCAGTCTGGGGTGCCATAAGATGGCCTCAGTTTCCCAACTTTCCCACTCTCCCCAGAGAGCTCTCAAGTGTAAGCGGAAAGGACTTACCAGAGAAGTGTTGGTGTTTGGTGGCAGCAAGGCTGAGGCATTGAACCCGGTTATGTTCGCTGTGGGCGAGTGTAGGACATGGGGAGGGTCAGCATCTGCTGAGCAGGGGCCTGTGACTCCCCCTCCCCCCCCCCCCGTCAGGGCCCCCACCCTTCCCATCCTCCTCCAGTCCCATAGAGCCAGGGATTGGCTCCGTGGTGAGGGTGCTCATCGAGCCCCACTCCTCTGCACTCTCCCCACTTTGTCCAGGGACAGCAGGGGGCAGGGAGGTGGTGGTGGGGCCGGGCTAAGGCAGCCGCTCTTTGAGGCCAGAGGGCTGGCTCTATAGCCTGAAGGAAGGGAGCTGTTGCCAAGACCCAGCGCTGACACAAATCAGTGAATAACGTGCCTGTGCATCCCTACCGGCCACTGGACTCACACCTTTAAACATTTTCAAAGAACTTAATTCTGTGCCATGCACCTTGCCAAACCTTTACACACACCATCTGGCTAAGTGCCTAAATCTGAAAGAAGTCCCCCCATTTTAAAGATGAGGTAACTGAGGCCCAGAGAGGTCAAGTAGCCTGCCCTTTGCCCAAGGTCACACAGTGCATACTTGGAGGAGCCATGACCCATCCCAGGCAGGCCCAGAGCCTAGACACCTCCCAGCTCCACCCAGCGAGCGTCTTCTGTCCTCCTCCGCTCCCCACACACTTCCCTTCTCCCCGTCCTGGCCCCGTCCACATGTGCTATTTTTGTTTGTTTGTTTGTTTGTTTGGTTGGTTGGTTGGTTTTTAGGTCAGCTGGCCTGAGGAGCTGGTTGGCTTTGCTGTTGTCTTCTCTAATCTGCGCTTGCTCCAGTGGAAGCAAAGGAAGCTTAAACCCGGTCCAGCCTCAGCTTCCCTAACACTGAGTGGAGCATGTGAGGGTCCCACCAGGGCAGTGAGAAGAGTGGAGAGGAACTGTGAGGCCTGCCCTGGGGGTTGTGACCACTCATTACCAAGGCAGGTCTTGGAGGGCCACTTCTGCCCTCCCTCTTGCTCCTGTACTGCAGGGGTGCGCAAGGGCCACGTCCTCCCGCCTTCCTCCTCCAGGGGGCGCTGACTGAGCGGAACCTCTGCAGCAGGTTTGGGGAGGGAGCAGGCCTGAAATGCGCTGCCAGCCCCATCTAGCTCCTGCTGGCTGTGGTTAGGAGCCAGAGGGCAGAAGAGGCTATTCCTGAAGCTTCCATCAGCCCCCAACAAGCGGTTGTGGTGGATGTGACCACAGGGCTCTCTGAGTTGCTCACTTCCGGGGGAACTTGGCTGGATGTGGCTAAGGGACTTAGCTTCGACCTAGATCACAACACTCCTAGCAGCTTCACATCCCAGAGAAGCGGTCGCCAACCGGTGGTTCCAACCGGTGGATCACGGGTGGCCCGTGAGGTCCGAAAGGCTGCCCTAGAGGGTCGTTACCATTATTCTGAGGAAAGCTTCATTTCCTAGAAATCAGGGACATTTGCTGCCTTTCCTCACGCCACTGACCAAGGAGGCGCGATGCATGCTTAACAACGGAATAGACCAGGTGGCAAGAAGGCAGGCTCAAGTCTACCACTCAGCTCAGTCACACCAGATGCCAATCACACCAGATACTCCTGTGGCATCCTCTGCTTAGGCTTAGCCATTCTTTTCTCTCTCTCTCTTCCTCTCTCTCTTAAAATATGTTTTATTGATTTTTTTTTTTTTTCAGAGAGGAAGGGAGAGGGATAGAGAGCTAGAAACATCAATGACAGAGAAACATCGATCAGCGGCCTCCTACACACTCCCCACTGAGGATGTGCCCGCAACCAAGGTACATGCCCTTGACTGAAATCGAACCTGGGACCCCTCAATCCGCAGGCCGATCCTCTATCCACTGAACCAAACCAGCTCAGGCTAGCCATCTTTTATATAGGGAACTTTGTAAGATTTATTGGAAAACCGCTTTGAGATGAAGAAGGAAGGATTATAGCATGGAATCGTCCAGAGAGTGTCCCAGGATCAAACGGTTTGAAATTCTAGTGTTTGCAAATGGTACTCACTTGGGATTGAAAGCAGCCAAGTCAGTGTGTGCAGCATCCATAAACAGAATACAAACCAGTTACGGTGGAAACAAGGTGAAATTTAAAAAGAAAGTGCCCCGAACAAGCCTTTGTGATGAAGAGTGACAGTGAGTGACTGTGCCATCGTCGGACTCGGTTTTGCAGGAACACCGGGGAGATGGAACCATTCGCAAGCAAGTGGTCCGTGGGCTGGGAAAGAAACCCTCCTCTTTTAGCTACCTCCTCCCCAGTCTCCTACATGTCTAGAACTTTCTTCCTTTTCATAGTCTTCTACTCAAAACAACTTGTCCTGGTTCCCGTTCCTTTATTCTCTCATTACACCCCGGGCCTCTGGCAGCATGACCCTCCTTAGAGTTACTGTCCCCTCGGGTTTTCTTCCAAACACGGGGCTCAAGACTCTGCATTTGCTCTCTTGGGTCAGTAGGTGCCCATTCAACGCAAGCTCACCCTCCTGCATTTGAGAAGAGACACAAGAGAAGGGGAAGGGGATAGGAGGGTGGATGGGGGCCCAGGGCACCACTGAGGTCACTGCTCACCTGTATCTGGAGCGACACACTCGCACTTATAGGAGGTGATGGAGTCGGGCTTAAAGTCCGTGTTGATGGGGTAGTACTTGAAGGCACTGATCATCTTCTTGATGGCATCATAGATGAAGATGAAGCTGATGAGGGTGGAGAAGCCTTCCTCGGTGAAGCGGGTGATGTACTTGATGATAAAGCTGGCGTCCGTGGCCACCAAGACCAGGCACTGGATGGCTGAGTGCAGGCCAATCCAGAGGCGGAACTCCATGTAGTCCAGGCCATTGCCTCTGGAAGGCAGAGGAAAGTGAAGGGCCTCCATCCGGGGCTCTGGGCTGTGCTTAGCTCCCCAGACACCACTGAATGACTCATCTGTCCCTGAAGGACTCATCTGGCACAGATGCCTTCCCAGGAGCTTCAAGAGAACTGGAGACAGGGACACTTGGGACAGTTTCTGGGTGGGATTGTCTGGTCTTGGAGAATTCTGAAAAAGGATCTCCTGGGGTGATAGGAAGGTGCCAAGACATCTCAGGTCTCACATTTTGGTAATAAACATGTATGGGGCGGGGGTAGGGGGGTGTGAGTAAGAGAAGAAAGAGAAGGAACTTCAGACTGATGGCTGGGGCAGGCCTTAGAATGGCTTCCTGGCTGCCCAGGATAGATTGGAGCCTTCTGACCTCCAGCTCAACTTTTCATGCCCTGCACTGACTTCCAAGTCATAACTGCTCACAAGCAGAGTGCTGTGAATTCTCTCCTCCCATCTTGCCTGGATGTCTCCCTGTCCGCTATGCTAATGTACACCAAGGTGACTCAGAGGCAGGTGGCTAGAGGAAGTCAGAGGGACCACCTGGAAGTCCTTTCTGGACAGGTACAGACAGCTTTGGACCTGCTCGCCCGGCCTCCCCTTTGGGGTTTCCCCCGCTCCGGTCTCGGCAGACTGCCCGAGGAACACCTACTTGCTAAAGTCGAAGAGGAGCTTCTCGAAGATGAGGATGGGCCCTGTGCTGCTCAGGATGATGAGCGGCTGTCCCGAGAAGAGGCAGAACAGGACGCCGGCCATGGCAGTGCCCAGGAAGCTCTCCATCACCCCCTGGGGACACAAGGACTGTGAGGCTCCGTGGAGGCAGAAGGCATCTTATGGCACAAAACACATCACACCTATCTCGCCTTAGAATAAAGGACGAGCACCCAGGCCACAGTGCTCGCCCTTTATTCTAGGCCAGTGGTCGGCAAACTCATTAGTCAACGGAGCCAAATATCAACAGGACAACGATTGAAATTTCTTTTGAGAGCCAAATTTTTTCAACTTAAACTTCTAATGCCACTTCTTCAAAATAGAGACTCCCAGGCTGTGATATTTTGTGGAAGAGCCACACTCATGGGGCCAAAGAGCCGCATGTGGCAAGCGAGCCACAGTTTGCTGACCATGGTTCTAGGCCCTCTATTTCCCAAGTTCTGCTCCCCATATCCTCCTCCACAATCCCCCACATCACTTAATCCCATTGGGGCAGAGGTCCTGCGTGACTTCCTTTTGGCACCCTAGAACCTAGGAAACAGGGTGCCTGTGGTTCTACTTGTCCCCGTGCCCATTCTACTCCCAGAGACAGCCCATTTATCCATTCAGTCTTTCAGTCATTCTGCTAGGTGCTTTTGGAGGATAGTCCATTCATTCATTCATTCATTCAGAATTCATTAAGTGCCTACTAAGTATCAGGCATTATGCTAACTATTGGGGACCCATCAGTAAACAAGATCATGTCTTTTCAGTCTAGTGGGAGATATAGACAAGTAACCAGGCAATTTCTATACAGCAGTTTCTCAACTTCAGTACTTCTGACATTTCAAGTTTGATAAGTTGCTGTGTGGGGGCTGTGCTGTGCATTGCAGGGTGTCTAGCAGCATCCCTGGCCTCTACCCACTAAATGCCAGTAGCACCCCTTCCCCGTTATGACAACCCACACTATCTCCAGATATTACTCAATGTCTCCTGGTGGGTCAAAACCATCCCTTGCTGAGAACCACTGCTAAGGAGTGTGAGAAGCTGGGATCAGGCATGGGTGCCAGCACACAGGAGTAAAGGAGTGGTGAGGAAGGCCTCTCCAGAGATAGATATGTGGAAGCTGATACCCACACACTGAGCAGAGAGGAAATGGAGTGATGTGAGTGTCCTGGGAAGAGGGAACACTCTATACCAGTGGTCGGCAAACTCATTAGTCAACAGAGTTGCAAACATCGGCTTGTGAGCCGTAGTTTGCCGACCACTGCTCTACACAAAGGCTGGACCTGAAGAGAGCATGACTTTGAGGAACTGAACGATGACAAAAGGCTGATGGAAATCAATACAGAAAGAGCGTGGTGGACGGGGATCTGAGAAGGAAACACTGGAAGATGCGATGTGAGAACAGGTATGACCATGCTACGAGGGCCACTGGGGGAAGCTGGTTATGAGTCAGTATGTGGATAACGGGGGTGAACCACGGTGTCACCGGTGGTGACGGTAGAACAGTAGGTCTGGAAGCAAGATGGTGGATGCCATGTAGACCCTGTGAGTTGGGGGATTCCATATGGATATGGTCAGATGCAGCTGGATATTGGACTTGCAGCTCGAGAGTGGAGTGGGCTGGTGATAGGGGTTCATCTCAGTTTATCTGGGAAACCGTGTCTTCACCTTACTGTTTTGAGCTTTCTAGTGGTTCTCTCTTGAGGGCCCCCTTCAGAGAAGACCCTTGTTTGGAGCTCAAGCTAATGTCTGCTGAGCGGGTGTTTTCCCCAGGGAGGCCTGTATTGTCACGGAAACAGTTTACCATCATTCTAAAAATGTCTTAACTCCAAGTTAAAGGTTTAAGATTGGTGAGGAGAAGGCCACAACCAACAACTCGTTAATTGTGTTGATTCAGTTCACTCAAGCAGTGTGGAAAGTATCAAACAGAGCAGACGATTCCCCTTAAACGTCTGATTTACACAGTCCTTAAATTTAGTCGTTTAGTAATACGGTTTAGCCTTAGATCTTTTAAAATCTTGTTACTAGCCGAAACCGGTTTGGCTCAGTGGTAGAGCGTTGGCCTGTGAACTGAAAGGTCCCAGATTCGATTCCGGTCAAGGGCATGTACATTGGTTGCGGGCACATCCCCGGTAGGGGGTGTACAAGAGGCAGCTGGTCGATGTTTCTCTCTCAATGACATTTCTAACTCTCTCTCCCTCTTCCTTCCTCTCTGTAAAAAAAATCAATTAAAAAATATATATTTTATATCTATATCTATCTATCTATCTATCTATATATATCTATCTATCTATCTATCTATCTATCTATCTATCTATATATATATATATATATATATATATATATATATATATATATATATATATATATAAAGATCTTGTTACTAACCTTTTGAAGGGTAAAGGATTACTGAAAGTGATGGTCTGAGCCTGGATGGCAGACTTGGTTTGGAGATTCTAGGACAAAGCTCCTTACTGCCACCCAGTGGCAGCGGATTTTACCGAGGTTTGCGGGCACGTCCTGCACACACACCTGGTAATTGTCAGTGGCATCGCCCAGGAGCCCTCCGAAGGTGATGGCGTTGGTGATGCAGCCGAGGTAGATGAAGAGAACGGCGGAGATGGACTGGATGTGGAAGCCATCGTAGAAGTCGCTGAGGAACCAGGGCAGCTTCCTCTTGACGTCCAGGCACAGGCCACCGAAGCACCTGCTTAAGACAGGCCCACGCGCTGCTTTCTCCCCACCAACCCCAGGGCGGGGGCGGGGCCGCTCACAGGAGTCTGCAGCGTCCGGGGAGAGGAAGGGAACTTGTCTAGGTGTGGATGGGGGCAAGGATCTTCCCACCAGAACGTTGAGGACCAGGGAACGAAGAGGACCAGGGCTGAGAGTTTGAGGTTGGCGCCATCTCCCAGGAGAAGCATGGTCACAAACAGTGTGGGTGGGAGAGGGAAGGCCTGAGGGGAATATGCCCTGGTGTGGACCTAACATTCCATGGGGTCCACAGACGGCCACCCCCTCACGTTGCTGGTCATCCGCAGGGCACCTGTGCTCGGTAAACACAGCTGCGTCCGAAGCTGAGGCAGAGACAGCCCTGAGCATAACACAAGTTCATCATGTTCTCCCAGATCTTAACCTCTGGCACCTGTGAATGTGACCTCATTTGGAAACAGGGCCTTTGTAGGTGCGGTGAGGCTAGGATGAGGCCATTGGGGTTGGCCCAAATTCAATGACTGGCGTCCTCATAAGAAGAGGAAAATGCCATGTGAAGACGGAAGAGGGAGAACATTGTGTGACAATGGAGGCAGAGGGGGGCACGGCGCAGCTGCTGCCAGGGAGCAAGAGGACTGGCGGCACCACCGGAAGCTAGGAAGACCTAAGGGCAGAACCCCCTGCCCGCTCTGTGCCCACAAGCATAACATTCTCCCCAGGGTCTCAGAGGGAGCACAGCTGACCTTCCGACTGGGAACTCCTAGCCTCCAGAATTATGAGAGAATAAAGTTCTGTGGTTCAAGCCACCTCGTCTGTGACACTTGCTTGTGGCAGCCCTAGAAAACTAATGGAGGTAAAAGGGGCGTCTAAGGAAAAGTTTGGGTTCCTCCATTCCTGTGCTGGGTCCCGCCTGTCCTCTCCTGGGGGACCCCTTTGCTGGGTGCGGGAGGGGCTTTGAGGGTATGAGGAAGAAAAGAGGGCAATGGCCAGACCCCAGGCCAGACCTCAGGGTGCGGAGCGGGCGCTGCAGGGAGTGGGGGGGAAGGAGACACGTGTAAAGGATGCCAGGCCTGGGTGGGCACCTTCCTGTCCAGATAAGCTCCTCCCCGATTTCGTGCTTGGCGGGCATCTCTCGGTCATCTGTGCTGCTCCCTCCGCCGAGCCCACCGCTGCCACTGCCACTGCCACCTCCAGAGCCTCCTCCTGCGGCCGCTCCGCCTCCTGCCACAGAGCCGTTCATCTGGCCCAGCTCGGCCAGGGAGAACACGGACTTCCTGGGAGAAGAAGCGGGACGTGTGGCTCTCAGTCCTGGGACTGTCCCAGAATACCTCTTATGTCTCCAACAAAAATTATAAAATACCTTATACTACCGAGAAAAATGTGGAAAATGATGGAACAATACCCACACACAGGTCACCCAGGTTTTATAGATGTTTAAATTCAGCATTTTTGCTTCTGATTTTTTTTTAGAGATAAATAAAATGAAACTTGGGGGGGGGGTATAAACCCCAATATGCTGACCTCTTCCTTTAAAAATCCAAAAAGAGACAAAAAAAAAAAGGCCAGACTTGAAGTTTCCTTTGTGCCACTCCCTGCCCTCACCACCCCTCCGTTCACGTACTCACCTCTTGTCTGCGGAGGGCACCTTCTTGGGGGGCTCGATGCGGATATTGGGGTCCCATTCTCCGGGGGGAAGGACGATGACCTCGTCCAGAAACTCGTCGATGCCAGCGATCAGGTCTTCCCGACTGCGGGCCTTGTAGGCCACGCCGCTGAAGAGCTGGCGGTGAGGAGCAGGCGGTCAGCTCTCCTCCGGCGTCTCCGCGTTCCCCACCTCCCGGGAGCTCGCGGGGAGGAGATCACGCTGATCCGCGGCTCCTGTGGCCAATTTGCTCTCGGATTTTGAAATGAGAACCACCACCCGGCAGGTGCTACGAGGCCACTGGGAAGCAGCAGCCTGAGGGCGGCGGGTCCCTCTTGGGTCTGAAGGCCCGGTCTCCGAGGTCCAGCTGCCGGACATTTGTTGAGCGGCAACCTTTCTGCTTTCGGCTTTGCGCCGAGCACGCTCATTAGGAGACCTGAGCAGAGCCCGCATGAGAAGCTCAGCTCTTTCAGATCTGTGTGTACCGCCCCGGCCTTTCACCCTTGCCTCATCCCAGTGGTCGGCAAACTCATTAGTCCACAGAGCCAAATACCAACAGTACAACGATTGACATTTCTCTTGGGACCCACATTTTTTTAAACGTAAACTTCTCCTAACGCCTCTTCTTCAAAATAGACTTGCCCAGGCCGTGGTATTTTGTGGAAGGGCCACCACCACACTCAAGGGGCCAAAGAGCCGCATGTGACTCGCGAGCCGCAGTCTGCCGACCACTGCTTCATTCCACAGCGTCTCCAGAGTGTTCGTTCTGACTTACAGATCTGCCTGTTGTTAGGCCTGTAGGCTCCCACGCTCGGCTCTGCCCACAGGCTCAGCTGGTCTCTGACTCGCCTCTCTGTGACACCTCCTGCTCTTGAAGCTTTAACACTGAGCCTCCATAGAGCCACTTCCATCCAGCTCCTCTGTCTCCCAACCTTGGCCCCCGGTCCCTTTGTCCGGAATGCCTGCCTCCCAGGCTCATAGTGGGTCTACCTACCTCCTCCGGCTCATCGTAGCTTCAAAGCCCCTCATGTGTGGAGCCTGCCGGGACTTCCTGGATTATAGGTCTGTCTCCCCACCCTGTTGATGCTCCTAAAGAGCATCAACTATTCTGAGGATGATTGTTCCCTCATCTTCATAATCCTCAGCACCTACACAGAGCCTGGCACACAGTAGGTACTCAATGTGCCTATTGGCTAAATGAATGAGTGAAGGCTCAGTGCTTGATTCAGAAGCCATGACATTGGGAATACGTTCCTCGTTCCCACTTACATCATCTACCATGAGGGTGGCAATGGCTCGGCCAATCTCATTGTAGGACTTTGCTCTCCCGGAAGGTCCCAGCAGTATGAACAGGAATCTGTAAGGAGACGGAGGAGGAGGAGGAGGGATGTGGGAAGGAAAAACAGAAGCAGGTGAAGAGAAGGGTTCTCTGGCTTCAAACAGTATCGATTCTTAACTTTTTAACTGGCTGTAAACTTGTCCATTCCTTCTTTAAAACATATTTTTTAAATTGATTGTCAGAGAGAGGAAGGGAGGGGGAGACAGAGAAACATTGGTGAGAGAGAATCATTGATCAGCTGCCTCTTGCACACCCCCTACTGGGTATGTGTCCTGACCAAGAAATGAACCATAACCTCCTGGTTCATGAGTCCATGCTCAACCACTGAGCCACAGCAGCTGGGCCCCTTCCCTCTTTTGATGCCCTGTTTGCTTTGAAGAGACATTTTCTCTTCACTCCCACAGCTCTCCCTCGAGCGTCCTCCCTCTGTTCTGGTGTCCCAGAGCCACCAACAGCATCTCTCCCAGCTGTGGGCTCCTGCTTTCGAGTGATTGTTTTAAATAAATGCTCTCAACTCTTCCCGAGTCAAAAGACTTCCCTCCGCAGCCAATTCCCTGTGGTCCCTCTCTGCTTTAGGGTTGTCCTCACAGCCCCGCATGCTGACTGCATGGACAGCTAGTGGCCTGAAGGCAGTCGTGGGGGGCAGATCTCAATGGCCCTCACCTGGTGGGCACGGGCACCTCGGTCATCCCTCCCAGCATGGCCGACTGGACGAGCCGCACGAAGGCGATGAAGGGCTGGTCCAGGAAGTCCACCTCCCCCACCAGCACGTTGGAGGCTTCCGAGTCCTTGGGGATCTTCTTCATGAACTTGTTTTTCCGCTGGCCGAGGAGGGGAACGAGGCGCCATGGTTACTCACCTGCAGGGGTTCCAGCTCTCCCGCATCCCCTTCAGATGGCTGTGGAGCCCCACCTTGGAAAAGTTCCCCAGCCTGTCTCAGAGAGAAATAACCACTGTCCCCGCTTCTGCAGGGGAGGAGACTCAACCCCAGGCACCAACTAAGCCTGTGAAGACGGGGAGGAGCAGGCAACGACTTATTCCTAAGACATTCCTTATTGAGGAAAAACTTAGCTCAACCGAAGTGTGAGCTGAGGGCTTGCTGGGAGTCCCATCTCATCCCGCAGCCCCTGCGGCTCAAGCAGAGGGACTCTTGGCCTTGCACTGCAGCTTCCTCCCTCTCCCCCTCTGCCTTCACCTTGGGTGGCCGCGGAAGGGATGGGCCCCCTTCTGATGGCCAGGCCCATGCACCGTGTTTTCCCTTTGCCACCGCTCCCTGGCTCACAGGAACCCCTGGACCACACCTCCAAGTCTGTGGGAGACTTCTGGGCCCCCAGGTCACCCCGAGGGGACCTCCCAGGAAACTCATAGCATCTGAGACTTTACAACTGAGACCTCCCAGGTGCCCTCTCGCCAGCCCCTCTGGCCAGTGTCTGTGCAGAGCAGGAGGTCATATAGAGCAAGGGGCTGATGGGAGAGGTGCTGGAGATAGTCCTCTTCCCAAACGTATTCCCGCCGCCTGCGTTCATGACGCCATTCCTTCTGGGCCCTCTTTTACGAAGAAAACGCCCAGGGAAGGACCCATACAAGCTCACATCTTGGGATGCTCTCATTTTTCAGATCGCTTTCCCCTGGGCAGCAAGGGGCTGGGCCAGGGACAGAGACAGCTTTGTAGAGAGACGGCGGAGAGGGAGCATCTGGGAGGGCAGGGCTGGTGGAAGTGCCATCAAAGGGAGAAAGGGCCCAGAAGTCAGAGGTGAGCTCTTCAGAGAGATCCTCCGGACCCCACAAGCTTGCCACCCATCTCTGTTAGGTCTCTCCTATGGGCACAGCCATGTCCATTTCCCATAAGCTCAATGTCCCCACTTCACACTCATGGTGGGTGTGGTGCACCCTGGGCTGGTTGGCCTACCAGCATGAGAAAAGGCACGTGAGCCAGAGCTGCACCCTTGGAATCTTTGACACAAACGAAAACTCTGTACAGCCACCCAGGCAGCAGCCCCAAGGCCCTAACGCAGTGAGAACAAGTGAGGCCAGGAGTTAGTGAGAAGGCCGGCGGTCTCACAATTCAGAAAGTCTCTTTGTCCCAGCCAGTCGGCTGATGGATTCGTAAGCAGCGTTCTTCAGGACGGAGGCTGGGTGTGCCAGGGCAGCCGCAGCCCCCTGCCTGCTCTGTGCCCACAAGCAACAGGCAGGAGCAGGCCCAGGGGACAGGAGGAGCGGAGGGGTGGCAGGAGTGCCCTGGAGAAGTCTTTGAAAGCAACAGGCGTGGGGGCAGCCCAACAGCACACTCAGAATCCAGGGGAGGGGAGGAGCTGGAACGGGGCCGTGGTCCTCCCTGGCAGGTGGTGACAGGTTCGGTAGAGAGGCCGGCTGGGGTGGGGACATCCCAGAAACGGGCCATGCTGCTGCTCTGGCCCCTGGCTTTGGCCATGGTTTGGACCAGGGCCTTGCTGACTCTACTTGCTGAACCCACAGGGAGTCTAGTCCAGCTCTCTTGAGTGACCACACACAACTATGGTGTCTGAATCCACCCTCTGCTTCACCGGGATCCCATGGACAGGCGTGGAGCCATGAAGAAAGAGCCTGCAGAGCCAACACCTCTGGGCTTGAGCCTAAAGAGCGCCCCTTGGCAGACAAAACGCTGTTCCCACAACAAGCCTTTGCAGCTGCAAATGGTACCGAGAAGCAGTATCAGCTGGTCAGTCAGGAGAGCGGGACATGGAACGTGGCTCCAGTCCCTAAGTCAAGGCAGCATTGCCGGGAAAGTGACAGCTGCTATTCTTTTTAAAAATATATTTTATTGATTTTGTACAGAGAGGAAGGGAGAGAGATAGAGAGTTAGAAACATCGATGAGAAAGAGTCATCGATCAGCTGCCTCTTGCACACCCCCTACTGGGGATATGCCCGCAACCAAGGTACATGCCCTTGACCGGAATCGAACCCGGGACCTTTCAGTCCTCAAGCCGACGCTCTGACAGCTGCTATTCTTATCACCACTGCGACACTTATTAAAACTGACTAGGCCAAAATCAGTTTGGCTCAGTGGCAGAGCATCGGTCTGCGGACTGAAAGGTCCCGGGTTCGATTCCGGTCAAGGGCATGTACGTTGGTTGCGGGCACATCCCCGGTGAGGGGTGTACAGGAGGCGGCTGGTCGATGTTTCTCTCTTATAGATGTTTCTGGCTCTCTATCTCTCTCCCTTCCTCTCTATAAAAAAATCAATAAAATATATATATATTTTTAAAAATTGACTAGGCAGCGCCTCCTTATCTTGGCCCCGCTGTCTGTGTGCTAAAGTGGGGATCTTCTCTAAATAACATCCCAGAATACTCAGTGCTAGGTCACTTCCAAATTAAGGGCTCTCGGCAGACCGTCTGGGTCAAGTCATGGTTCTGCTGCATGGACGTGGGCACGTGATTCAACTGCTTTAAGGTTCAACACTCTCCCCAGGAGACTGGAGACGATATAGCACCTTCAGATGCATGCATGGGTGGCGCAGGCAGTGTGTGGGTTTAAGTACTGGCTGATGCTCTTATCATTGCTATTTTAATATTTGGCCACCGCACGGTCCTCGTGATACTGATGCGAGGGGCTGCTTTTGTTTTGCCGGCTACCAAACTTGGGGTGCCCTGAAGGCCAGGCCTTCGCCTGGGCTCCTGAGACATCTTCACCAAATTCTAGGTCTTTTTCATCACCTTTCTCCCTACTCCTGGGGGCACAGGCAAGGGGACCCTGAGACTCTGCCCTGGAGGGGTGCAGGGGTTGGAATTGAGGGGTTCCTCTGGGCTTCCCCAAAGGGGGCAGAGCCCCAGGGTTCCTGGGCTGTGGGCCTTAGAACATGGACTCAACCTGTTGCAGGAAATCTCATCAGGAGATGTCAGTCAGGCTGGTGGGAGACAGGGCCTGCCTCCATCCTGGCCCAGCCACGGAGGAGACGCGCTGTTGGGCGGTCCCAACGATTCCCTACCCCTGCTGTCCCCCCAGGGAGGCCCCACTGCGAGTCTGTACCGGCCCATACCCACTCCATCTTTAGAGGTACTTGTGTGCCATATGGCAGGTGGAACTGCGTGCTGGTCTCTCCCCAACAAATCCCAAGCTCGGAGGCTGCTGCTCTGCCCCCAACCCCTCCCAGGGCCAGTACTTGGGGCTCAGTCAACACCCACACGATGGCGTGGGCAGAATCACCAGGCCGCCCAGAGCACACCCCGCACTCCCATGTCCTTCCTGGAGACTCCCGCTCCTTCATGAGCGTGGAGCCCTGCCCGTGGAGCCAAAGGCTTCCTTCTTCCTGCCCCGGCCCCTCACGGCAGCCCAGGGCGAGGGCTTTACTACCTGGTCTGGGTTTTGGGTGCGAGGAATGTCACTCATGCTTCTGCTCTGGACATGACCTGGGAGAGAAGGAAAAGAAGGTCCATGAGGGGAAGTCGGGCTCGCATGGCTTCCCGTCTTCATAAGCAAAGGAAGGGCCCCTCTCCCCACACCCTGCAGCCCCCCGAGCTGGCCTCCGCTCTCTTTTCTTCCCTCAAACGGCAGCTCTCTCTCTTTTTAGATTTTAATTTATTAACATGGGTTTGCTGTCCCACTTACTCACGCAGTCAGCAGTTGATTCTTGCATGTGCCCTGGCCAGGGACGAACCCCCCCATGTCGGCCTGTTGGGACGATGCTCTAACCAAGTGAGCTGCATAGCCAGGGCTGGCGCCTCTCTTAAAAGAGTTGCCAGACCCCAGGTTCTCCCTTCTCGCTGCTCAGTCCGCTGTATTCTTGTCTCTACCCTCACCCGCTTTTCCTGGGCAGAGGCAGAGACGTCTGTCCTGCGCCAGACCCTGGGGGTGGGGAGGTGTCGCTAAGCTTGGACTTTGTTGGAGAGAGAAGACGAGTTTCACCTCCATCCTCCATGACCCATGTGAGTCTTGTTCTTTTCATCTATATGTTCATTGATTCCAGAGCGGAAGGGAGAGAAGGCGCGGGGGCGGGGGCGGGGGCGGCGGCGGGGACACACTCACACAGGTGGCCGTAGCTCACGCTGGGCTGCAGCCGCAGGTCCTCGGTGGAGCGGTGCAGGCTGGGGCCGGCCGGGGGGCTCCGGGCGAGGCTGCGGCCTGGGGGGAGGAGGAGGAGAGGGGTTTGCCGCCCCCGTCCAGGTGGCACTAAGTGTACTGTCACTTCTCACTAAAGCTGGGCCACAAGCCCTGTCCTTTCTCCTTCCAGGAAAGAGGGTGTTTTGGGCAGTTCTGCTTTTTGTTCTTGTTTTGGGGGGTTGTTTGTTTGTTTTTGTTTTGTTTTTTTTGGAAGCAAGTGAACAGTCTGAACAAGATTAAATATTTGTGCTGTTGAACGTGAGACAGATGACCAAGTCCTCAAATAGGCACAGGTGTTGCAGAAGGCCTGGCTTTATCCCGGATGGCACCTCTGGCTCGGCTGTGTGACCTTAGGCAAGTAACTTAACCTCTCTGTGCCCCAGGCCTCTCACGTGTCAGATGGGGAGGATGAGAACAGTAGCTAATCACGGGTGATGGTGAGGTGTGAGTCACGCTTCAGTGCTGGAACACGGCAGGTGCCACGTGTGTGCCTGCCGCTATTAGGGCACGCTAAACACTCCCCCATTTCAGACGGTTCCTAAAGAAATTCCTCAAGGCTCACTATTTCGCTACTTGGTTCTGCGGACTGCATTTCTCTGGCAGGTCCGGCAAGGCTAGTAGTGTCTGGGCATCTCAACTCTGGGATGTCAAGATGGAGGGTGGCAGGTTTGAGACGTGTGAATGGAACAAGCCACTCGCCACAATGCTCCCCCCGCCCCGCCCCCACCCCTTCCACCCCACCCCGCCTCTGCTAATCAGAATGACCAGCTGCCAGGGTTACAGGGCCTGGCACCTGAGATGGCCCAGCCCCTTCCGCCATCTCAATGTGGGTCACCTTCTCTTGGGGCTCCTGGCTCTTTGGGGGGGCTCAGTGGGGAGAACTTTAAGCGCTTACCATAAACACGCCATCTCTACAGCCTTTTACAACCCGGGCTGCACACGAGAGCGCTCCAAAGCCCCGTTTCCAGGCCACTCCCCAGACCAACTGAATGCCACTCCCCAGGGTGGGGCCGAGGCGTTAGGCCCCATGCCATGCCCCCAACCCCCGCACCCTCCCCCATTCCCACCTCCACCCCCAGGATCAAAAGGCCCAGCCCAGGCTGAGAATCAACTCTCTTCCTAGAAACGGTTCAGGTTCAGCGCTGTGGGTGGGGACAAACCGGGGTGAGGCTGGGGGCCCTGCAGGCTGCTAGAGAAGGAGGGTAAGGAACCCCCACACGTCTCCGGCTTTGTGAAGGGCGGGAAGCTTCCCAGGTGCCCAGGCTCTCGCTGACGGGGATCAGCTGGCACCAGGGCCGGCCCCAGCCCCCTCCCCCGTGCCGGGGCCCCCAGCACAGCTCACTCACTGGTGGGGGAGGAGACGGACTTCCCGATGTCCGCCAGGGAGCGGTGGATGGGCTTCTTGGTCTGGTGCCGGTGCTTCCGCAGGAGGACGTAGCTGACCCTCTCCCGGAGCTCCGGCCGCAGCAGGCCGTCCTCGACTTGCTTCTCAATGACGTCATCTAAGGGAACAAACACGCCTCGTCCGTCCAGAGCCGGACAGCATGAGCAGGTGGCGGGTCTTCCGTCTCACCTGTCATTTGTGGGGTTAACAGTGAGCTGAAGGAGGCAGGATGCGGACACAGTCCCGGCTGTACCCACAAACTCGGGCTCATCACGAACCCTCAGCCTCCCCCATGTCCGTGAGTGTGCATGTGCGTGCACGCGTGTGGGCGTGTGTGCATGTGAGTAGAATCCTCTGCTCTATCAATCCCATGTCAAAAGTAAGTGAAGCCAGCCCTGGCCGGTGTGGCTCAGTTGGCTGGCAGCATCCTGTGCGCGTGCCCCGAAAGGCTGCCAGTGGGATTCCCAGCCGGGGCACAGGCGGGGTTGTGGGTGGATCCCCGGTAGGGGCCTGCAGGAGGCAGATCACTGATGTTTCGCTCTCACATCAATGTTTCTCTCTTCCCCTCTCTCTCTCTTCCTTTCTCTCTCTCTCTCAAAAATCAACTTTAGAATATATATTTTTAAAGTAAATGTAATCAGACATATGGAAATACCCTTAAAAGCACAAAGGTACCATGGTAAAGGATCTCAGTCCTAACATGAGTTCTCTTTAGGAAAGTATTTTGGGCAGAATGCTTCTGGCAACATTGAGTGTTGCTAGAACAAATTCACAAAAAGTCTGAGCGATGACAAGGCAAGCCGCCTCCTCCCTCTGCCGCTCCGTGAAACTGGAGCTGATCTCCTAAAGAGAAACGATGGTCCGTTCCCCCTGCGGGACCCAGCTTGCCGCGGCCACAGGTGTCTGCAACCACCTCTCCCCGGCCAGGCCTGGAGCAGCCGGGCCCAGAGCAGCCAGGCCCAGAGCAGCCGGGCCCCGAGCAGCAGCAACCAGGCCGGGAGCGGCAGTGGCCAGACCCGGAGCAGCTGGTTGTGGAGCGGACCAGAGCAACAGAGGCCAGGCCAGGAGCAGCCAGGCCCGAAACAGCTGGCTCCTCGCCTGCCCCTGCCCCAGGGCTGCCTCTCAGACATGGCTGGAAACTTTTGGGGGAACTTGAGGGTCTGCTGAATCAAGTGATGAAGGCTTAGATCTGGAAGTGTTGAGTTAGTATAGCTCTGGGGTGTTGATCTGTGAGTGCCTTGTGTGGGGCCTGGATGAGGTTGGTTGATCTATTTGGAAATGTCTTTTGTGTGAAGTGTATCCTTGGGCATGTGGAGGTATTATTGATTTGAGAAAATGCTAAGTAACTGATTTACTATCTGAAAAATTTTAAGTTCTGAAAGTTTAAGGTCTCTTGCCAAAAAGAGGTTTTAAAGCTAACACCTTAATTTTAATGGAGAAAGGGGAGGACAAGCCATTCCCACCCAGAACAGGTAACCCAATTCCAACCAGCACCTATCTTTAAACAATGTGTTCATTTACACTTGAATGGCTACACCTCTTGATAGCCTAAGGGCAAGTTTACATGTAAACAAGTTTGCTTCTCAATTCCCAGGGCAGAAAAAAACAAGGTTTAAAATTATTAGATTTTAAAATTTATTCTTAGAAATGTGAAAGTTTATTAATTTTTTTTTTAAAAGGAGATTGAAAAACCTGGTGAACAATATTAGCTGTTGATTGTAGTAGAGTCGGCGATACGGGAGGGGAGTGGACTGACAGTTCTCCGGGAAAGGGGGAGTGGTGGAGGGGGGAAGAGACTGAACATAAACTGTGCACCTATGGATGAGGACAGTGGGGAGTGGGGAGGGGGTGGAGGGTGGGGTGGGAACCTGGTGGAAGCGGGAAGAAATGAGGAACCTTTGTAATAATATGAACAATAAAGATTGATTTAAGAATTAAAAAAAAGAAAGAAAGAAAGAAAAGAAGCCCTCTCCCGGTGGCCACACTGCACTTCAGAGGATGCTCTTTTCCTCAGCTGGGACTCAATGAGCCACTGCGGCCTCAGGCAGCGTCAGAGGTGAGAATGGACTGGGGATGGGCAGGAGGCGGGAGCGGGGAGAGCGGCCCTGGTTTTGGGGGGCCTCCGTGGTCCCCACTCACCTATGATCTGCGGTAAGGAGCCGCTGTCCAGATCGAGCAGCACCGTTCCGGTCTGCAGGCAGGTGCGGAGCTCGAAGAGGCTGTGCAGGGACAGCGTGGCCACGTGGGGCTTGCTCCAGCGTTCGCCTCCTTCCTCCACCTTTTCTTCAAACTTTATCCACCTGGAAGGGGCGAGGATGGGGCTCAGCGGGACCGGCGTCCTGGGGGGGGGGGGGGGGCCCTCGCTGGGTCTCCTCAGGAGAGGGTGCTGCCCTGCAAGTTGTTCTGTGCAGGGCATTGGGGCGTTGGCTCTAGACTCGCAGGGACCTTTCCCTCTGTCCACAATCCTCGGGGGCTGTGCTCAGGGCAGAGTGGCATCCAGAGGGTGACCACCAACGGGCACAGGGGATCTTTCGCAGGGGTGGTGGGCATGCTCTGGAGCTGGATTTGGTGATGGTGGCAGCACTTTGCACATGTACCAAAAAGCCTTCAACTGCACACCTACAATGAGGGGCCTTTGCGGTGTTCTGGAACAACAAAGCTGTTCAAGTTTCCGTTGGAACCCGGTTACCTGGGGCTCGTGTGTGCAGTGTCTGCCTTATGGGGTGAGGTTGCTGGGAGCACTTCCTGACGGGTTCTACTGCAGGATCTGTGGTTCCCAAGCATGTGCCCTGGATCTTTATCCTGAATGTTCAGGTTAAAATCCAAATGTCAGCTGGGGAAGGAAAGATGTTAAACCAGGAAAGATGTGTAAGAAGTTGTCCTTTCTAGAAGCCTTGGAACCAGGCTGGGTGGGGAGGGCCGAGTGGGAAGGCCCGGACACAGATAGCACCTGCCTGGGCGTCCCTGCAGAGGGCAGCACCTGATCGCCCCTGGAGAGCAAGGCCCGCGAGCCCAGCTTTGTAAGAAGTCAGCCCCAAATTAGTGGGGAGCTTCCAGCTATTCCAATCAACCCCAAGGGAGTGTTTGTGGATCATGGCTGCCCAATTCTAAAGTTCTTCTGAAAAAGGCACCGTCTGAGAACGGTGGGGAAGGTCTGTAAAAGGAGAAGAATGGGGATGGGACATTCCAGTAGGTAGAAAATTTTCTAAAAAGCTTCAGTCATTAAAACGTGTGGTTCCAGTTCGGATACAGACAGACGGAAACAACTTTAACCCCCATGGGAATTTGGGTTTTGATGGAGGAGCTGTTTTAAAGATGACCAACCTGCCTGGCTAGCGTGGCTCAGTGGTTGAGCCTTGACCTCTTAACAGGAGGTCACAGTTCGATTCCAGGTCAGGACACATTGCTTTCAAAATGTTAGAAACAATAAAAATAAGAAGGTAAAGCCATTCAAAGCTCTCCCGACCAGAAGACTCCATGGTTGACATTGTGATGACTACCCTTGTAGACCTCTGTGTGCATGAACACACATGTGTGCACACACAATTTTACATTGTGGACACCTGGGGGATGATATCTCATGGACATCCTCTCCTGTTTATTAAACTGATATCATTTTAAAGGATCTTTGGTACTCTGTTGTATGAATGGACCATAATTGATATGAATAATCCTCACTTGGTGGACATTTATTTAGATTCTCTCTAATTATTATTTATTATAAACTAGAGGCCCAGTGCACAAAATTCATGCATTGAGGGGTCTCCTAAGCCCAGCTTGGATCCTCTCTGGATGCAGCAGTCAGACATCCCTCTCACAATCCGGGACTGCTGGCTCCTAACGGCTCACCTAACCTGCCTGCCTGATTGCCCCTAACTGCCAGCCAGATCACCCGTAATTGCATCTGCCTGCCAGCCTGATTGTTTCTAACTGCCCCCACTGCCAGCCTGGTACGCCCCCCCCCCCCCGCCTCCCTGCCAGCTTGGTCACCTCCAACTGCCCCTCCTTCCAGGCTGGTCATCCCCAACTCTCCCCCCCACCCCATTGGCTTGGTCGCCCATAACTGCCCCCCCCTTGCCAGCCTGGTCACCCACAACTCCCCCCCCCGCTGGCTTGGTCACCCATTACTATCTCCCAGCTGCCAGCCTCATTGCCCCTCACTGTTCCCCCTGCTGACCTGGTCACTTCTCACTGCCCCCTCTGCCAGCCTGGTTGCCCCCAACTGCTGCCCTGCTGACCTGGTTGCCCCCAATTGCCACCCCCGCCAGCCTGGTTGCCCCTCACTGACCCCTCTGCCAGCCTGGTCGCCCCTCAATGCCCCCCCTGTTGGCCTGATCACCCCCAGCTGTGCCCCCCACTGGCCTGGTAGCCCCCAACTGCCCTACCTGCTGACCTGGTCATCCCACACAGCCTGCTGGTCAGTCATTTGGTTGTCCCTTGCTAACCCCCCTGCCAGCCTGGTTGCCTCACGTAGCTTGCTGTTCGGTTGTTACTGTGAGGGTGTCATGGTCAACTTGCATATTACCCTTTTATTAGTATAGATAGATTGATTTGAATGTCCTTGGCCCCTGCCCAATAATTTCCTTAGAATAAGCTCTAAGAGGTAAAATGCTGTCTGCATATTTCTAAGTATATGGCATACATTGCCAAACTGTCCTCCAGAAATTGTGCCAATTTACACTTCCACCAACATCTAGGTCACCTCACATTTCTCCAAAGTCTCTCAAACTCTAGCATTGCCATTTTTTCACCTTAGTTCTGGAACTGAAAATCAAATTACATTTGCAATCTTTTGGTTACTAATGGAGTTGAAAATGGTTTCCTTTGCCAGCTTCCCTCTGGACGCAATTGCATGAGTACTTTGCATCATCAATATTTAATGTTCTGATTCAGTATCTTCATTTGATATCAGTTAACCGGGCACCTGGTGGGGCCTGGAGGGCTGGAATGGACACAGGATGGGAGGTTCAGTTAGAGGAGACCTGGCAGGTGAAGACCTAAAACACAGGGGCTGGAGCAGAGACCACACAGACACTTGTCTCAGACTCACCAAAGTGCCGCTAACGTTTTAAATGGGGAGACCCACTTGGCAAACACCATTTAAATTATAGCAGATCCAAGTCTGTGATACTGATCCAAAGCTTTTCTAAACATTGTACTAGCATAAGGACTTGCAAGGAAGAGACGAAAGAACAGGGTCAAATGTTTTGGTCAAGAAGATGCTCACCTTCTCCCTGAGAGTCTTCTACTCAACAATCACATTGCCCCCTTTTTTTCCTCTTAAAAATGCACAGAATAGCCCAGCCGACATGGCTCTGAACCAGGAGGTCACGGTTCAATTCCCGGTCAAGGCACATGCCTGGGTTGTGGGCTCAATTCTCAGTGTGGGGCGTGTAGGAAGCAGCTGGTCAATGATTCTCATCATTGGTATTTCTAGCTCTCTAGCCCACTCTCTTCCTCTCTGAATTCAATAAAAAAATATTTTAAAAAATACACAAAATAAATTATACTGCTACTTTGTCACTGAAGATGCTATTGCTACTCCTTGGCCTTATCCCCCTCCCATCTCCCCCCCCCCCCATCCCGCCCCTCTGTTCCCCCAAAGGTGATGTGTCCCAGTGCACTTGAGTTGCTTTCTCTCTACCCTGTCCCCCAAAATCCTGGGGGACGTTCCAGAAAGCTCTCTCCATGACATCCCCTTCTTCCGCTTTCCACCTGCCCAAGAGCACCTCCGCCTGGAAGGAGGGGTGAGAGCACCCCCCACTCTTTGAAACACCCTCTTATTAACTCCAGGTAGCAAGGACAGTCAGTCCTCTCCACCTCCACTGTGTCTGGCACCTACAAAGCATCAGTTCAACACACGCACAGACCAGAGCACCAACCCGCCCGAGCCGTCTGCAGAAAAGCCCAGTACCCATTCCTGGGCTCAGGGAAAATGCCAGAGCTAGGTTTCTGCCGCTGGCACCCCTAACCTGATTTCCAAAAGTTCACATGACGACTTCAAAAACACCCAAGGGCCAAAACTGGTTTGGCTCAATGGATAGAGCGTCGGCTTGGGGACTGAAGGGTCCCGGGTTCGATTCTGGTCAAGGGCATGTACCTTTGTTGCGGGCATATCCCCAGTAGGGGGTGTGCAGGAGGCAGCTGATCGATGACTCTCTCTCATCGATGTTTCTAGCTCTCTATCTCTCTCCCTTTCTCTCTGTACAAAATCAATAAAATATATTTTTAAAAAAAAACAAAACAAAACAACAACAACAAAAAAACACTCGAGGACTTCAGGAGGAACACCTCTCCGGTTCTCCTTGCAACAGTTTTGGAAATCAGGATGTGGAAACAGCCGAAGCCGGTTTGGCTCAGTGAATAGAGCGTCGGCCTGCAGACTGAAAGGTCCCAGGTTCGATTCCGGTCAAGGGCATGTACCTTGGTTGCGGGCACATCCCCAGTAGGGGGCGTGCAAGAGGCAGCTGATCGATGACTCTCATCGATGTTTCTAACTCTCTACTCTGTATCTCTCTCCCTTCCTCTCTGTAAAAAATTAATAAAAATATATTTTTTAAAAAATGTGGAAACAGCAAGCCTGCCACTGGAACTCGATTTTGTGGGGGTTTTTTTTCCTTCTTTTTCTAAAACCTTATTCTCTAGTTTGAAAAGGAGGCTGAGCCGAGACCGGTTTGGCTCAATGGATAGAGCGTCGGCTTGGGGACTGAAGAGACCCGGGTTCGATTCCGGTCAAGGGCATGTACCTTGGTTGCGGGCACATCCCCAGTGCGGGGTGTGCAAGAGGCAGCTGATCCATGACTCTCTCTCATCGATGTTTCTAACTCTCTGTCTCTCTCCCTTCCTCTCTGTAAAAAATCAATAAAATATATTTTTAAAAAAGAAAAAAGAAAAAAGAAAAGGAGGCTGAGTGGTGGTTCTGGTTAGTTCCAGAGAACATTAATTTTGTGTTTTTAATGGCGACAGCTAGAGACAGAGATCACTCCGACCTTGAGTGGGACATGGACAGACGGAAGACCTAACCACTGCAACAGAGGTTTCCAACGCTGACTGCCTGTTAGAATTTCCTGGAGATATTGGAAAACACTGCAGCCAGGATGGTGGCCCTTCAGGAGGCGGCCTGGCCATGGAAGCTCCTAGGTTATCTGACTGCGCCCTGAGGTTGAGGAGTCCTTGCTCTGCAACCATAGAGAACTGTGTGACGAAGGGTAGTTGGACCTGTCTGGGTTCCCACTGCAGGCAAGCCGCTCTGGCACATGGGTCCCATTCTCCTCACCTGAGGGTATTTTCTCCATTGATT